AACCCCCCCAACCCCACCCCCCAACCCCCCACCCCCAAACACCCCCCCCCCCCCCCACACCCACAACACCCCCAACAACACCCAACCCCCCCAAACCCCCCCACCAACACCCCCCCAAACACAACCCCACCCCCCACACCCCCCCACCCACCACCCACCAAACCCCCCCCCCCACACACCCCCCCACCCAACCCCCCCCCACCAACCACCCACCACCCCACAACCAAACCCAAACACCCCCACAAACCACACAACCCACCACCCCACACCCCAACCCCCCCCCAAACCCCAAAAAACAACCCCACACCACCAAAAAAAACCCCCCAACACACCCCAACCCCCCCCACACCCCCCCCAACCCACCACCCCACCACCCCCCCCCCACACACCACACCCAACCCCCACAACCCCCACCACCCCCCCCCCACCCCCACCCCAACCACCCAAAACACCCCACCCCCCCCACCCCCCACCCCACCCACCCCCCACCACCCCCCCCCCCCCCCCACCCCCCACCCCCCCCCCCACCACCCAAACCCCACCCACACAACCACCACCCAACCCACCACCAAACCCCACACCAAACCCCACCACCAAACCCACCACCCAAAACCCCACCACCAAACCCCAACCACCCCACCCACCAAAACCCCACCCCACCAAACCCCACCACAAAACCACCACCAAACCCCACACCAACCCCCCCACACCAACCCCCACCACCAAACCCCCACCACCATAACCACCACCAAACACACCACCAACCCCACCCCAAACCCACACCCAAACCCACCACCAAACCCCACAAAAACCCCACCACACAAACCCAACCCACACACCCACCCCCCACCACCCCACACCAACCCACCCCCCCACACACCCCCCCACACCCACCCCACACCACACCACCCCACAACCCCCCCCCCACACCCAACCCACACCCACCCACCACACACACAACAACCAAAACACACCCCCCCCCCCACAACCCCAACAAACCCACCACAACACACCCAACCCCACACACATCAACAATAACCAACCAAACCATAACCAACAAACACAAACCCAAACCACACATCCCCCCCACCCACACACACACAACAACCCACCCCCAAAAACCCACCCCACCCCCCAAAACACCCCAAAAACACCCAAACCCCAATTCCACCACCCCCCCCAACCCCAAAACCCCCAACAAACCCCCCAATACCCCACAACACCACAACCCCCACACCCCCAACCCCCCCAACCCCCCCCCAACCCCCCCCCACCCCACAACCACCCCAACCCCCAACCCCCCAACACCCCAAACCCCCACAACCACCCCCCCCCAAACACCCCCCAACCACCCAAACACCAACCATCCCCCCAACCACCCAAAACCACCCACCCCCACAACCCAAAAACAACAACCCCCCAACCCCCCCAAACAACACCCCCATAACCCACCCCCAAACCACCAAACAACACCCCCCCCCCCCAAACCACCCAAACACCCACCCCCCCCCACCCTCACCACACCCACCAAACACACCCACACCCCAACCAACATAAAAAAAAAAACCAACAACCCACAAAAAACCCAACCCAACCCCCCACCCCCACAACCCACACAAACCCACCACCACAACACCCCACAAACAAAACAACCAACCACAACACACCAAACACCCCCCACCACCCACAAACCAACCCACCACAACACACCACCAAACCCCCCCCCCCACCACACCCACCCAAAAACATTACACTATCCAAAACACACAAAAAAACCCCACCCAACACCCCACCCCACCCACACCCCCAACCAACAAACACCCCAAAAAAACCCCATACACACCAAACAAAAAATCCCTAACCCATCACCCCACAAACCACCCTAAAAACACAAAAAAAACCACACCACAAAACACCTAACACTACACCACCACACCCCCCCCCCAACCCCCCCAACCCACCCCACCCCCCACCCCCCCCACCCCAACCCCAACAACCAAAACATAAATAACCCCAAAACCCCATTCATACCCCCCCTCCAATTTCAACCATCCCAACCAAAAACCACCTTATACCACCACACTCCCACCCCCCCTACCACTCCCCCCCCCCCAAAAACCCTTCCAAACAAAACTCAAAAAAAAATCTCCCTCAATCAACAAAAAAACCAACTCCAAACCAACACCCCCCATCATCCTAACTAAACCCAAATACAAACTACCCACCCAACTACATCATCCCCCTACCTTCCCCTTCCTTCTATAATCACCATTTTCCCCCCAAACCCTACCCCCATACATCCCTTATACCTTACAAACCCCCCCAACACCCCCCACCCCCCCTCATCCTTCCATTAAACCCCCAACTAAATTTCTTCCCACCCCCCAAACTCCACCCCACCACCCTTTAACTTCCCCCATCCTCAAATACCACCCCCCCCTTCCCACCCACCTAATCACACCAAACACCCAAACCACCCAACCACCACCCACCACCAAACCCCCAACACCCACACACAACCCCCCACCCCCACACCACCCCCCCCCCCACAACCCCTAACCCCCCCCCCCCCCCCAACCCCCCCCCCACCCCCCCCCCCCAACCCCACAACCAAACACAACCAACCAACCCCACCCCCCCCCACCCCAAACCCCCCCCACCACCCCTCAAAAAACCCCACACCCCCCCCCTCAACACAAACACCCCCACCCCCCCAACAACAAAACAACCAAACACAACCACCAACCACCACACCCCCCCCCCCCACACACCCACCACCCACCACCAACACCCCCACCATCCACAACCACCCCAACCACCACCCCCCCAACCCAACCAAACAACACCCACACAAACACACAACCAATAAACCCCACCACCAAAACCCAACACACACCACCCAACACTCCACCCCCCCCCCCACACCCCCCCCCCACCACCCCACCCCCAACCTAACAACCCCATCCCAACCACACCCCCCCCCCCCAACCCAACCACCCAAAACCACAAAAAACCCCAAAAAAACCAACCCCACACCCAACTCCCACACAACCCACACCCAACCCCACAAACCCCACAACCCCCACCCCCCCCCCACACCCAAACCACCCCCCCCACCCCCCCCACACCCCCCCACACCCCCCCCCCCCCCAACACCCAACAAACAAACCAAACACACCCACACCAACAACCCCCCCCACACACCACCAACACCCAACCACACACAACAAACCCAACAAAAAACCAAACCATAACAAACCACCTAACACACACCCCACACCACCCCCCCCCCCACAAACCCCCACAACATTCATTAAAAACCCACCCACAAACCCCCCCCCCACCCCAAAACACCCCCACCACCAAAAAAAACAAACCTACCACAAAAACTATACCCCTTCATTCTCAATACAATAATCAAAAACACACACTCCCACATCATCCACCACCCAAAACACAAACACCACACAAAAAACAAAAACACACAACACCCAACACCCACAACCCCACACCAATAAAAACCACAACCCCCCCCCCACACCCAACACCCACCCCAAACCCCCACCCCCACTTCAACACCCACACCCCAAAACCCTCACCCACCCCCCCAACACCCACACACAACCAACCACCCCCCACCCCCCCCACCACCAATAACCCCCACACCAAACAAAACAACACACCCCAACAACCCCACCCCCAAACCTCCCTATACCCCCCAACCCCCCACAACAACCACCAACAACCACCCACACCCACCACCCCCTCATACCCACACCACCCCAACACCCCCCCCACACACCAACCCACCAAACACCCCAACACACCCCACCCCCACACAACCCCCCCCCCCACCACCTAAAAACACAACACCCCACCACCACCACACCCCCCACCAACCCACAAAACCCCCAACCCCACAAAACACCCCACAACCCCCACACACCACCCCCCCACCCCACCCAACCCAAAACACCAAAAACCCACAAAACCCCCACACACCCCACAACAATCAACAAAAAAAAACACCACAACACCCCCCACCCCCCCACCCCCCCCCAACCAAAACACCCCCCAAACACCCCAACAACACCACCAACAACAAACACACCCCCCACACACCCCCCCCCCCCCCCACCCCACCACACCCACAACCCCAAACCCCCCACCACTCCAACTCAAACCCAACCCCCCCACCCAACCCCCCCCCCCCACCCCCACACCCAACCCCCCCCACACCACAAACAAACACACCCCACCCACAACACCAACAAACACAAACCACCCACAACCCACCCCCCCTACCCAAACACCCCCCACCCCCCAACAAAACAACCCCACACAACCCCCACCCCCACCAACCTCCAACACCCACCCCAACCCAAACCACAACCACCCCACACCACACAAAACACACCTCCACACCCACCCCAACAAACCCCCACCCCCCCCACCCAAAACCCCCCCCCCCCACACCCAACCACAAACACACCCAACCCACCACCCAACAAAAAAAACCCCCCCTCAAACCAAACCCCAAAACAAACCACAAACCCCCCCCACCCCCCCACACACCAACCACACCCCACCAAACAAACCACCCACTACACAAAAACAACACCAACCCCCCCACCCCAAAAACCATCAAACCCACAAAACCTAACCCACAAACAACCACAAACCCCAAACCCAAAACCCCCCAACCCAAACCACAACAACCACCCACCTTAACACATCAAACCCCAAACTCCCCCCTCCCACAAACAAACCCCCCCCCCCCCACCCACCCAACCAAACCCATTCAAATACAAAACAATACACTAAATACCACCCCCCCCAAACCCCAACCCCCACACAAACATTCAACCCCACCTCCATTCATACCCCATTCCCCCCTTACCCCCCCCCAATTACCTATATATACAAAATATATCCATCAATATATATATAACCCATATATACTCCAATCAATAATCAAAAAAAACATAAATATATAACTATCAAAAAAACCACACCACCCCCCCCCCCCCCCCCACACCCCCCCCCCCCCACACACCCCCCCCCCCCCCCAACCCACAAACACCCACAAACCCAATACCAACCCCCCCCCCCCCCCTACCCAACCCCATAACACCCCCCAAAACAAACCAAAAACCCCCCATAATAACCACACCCATCCAACAATTCCCCCCCCCACCCACCTACCCCCCACCACCAACCACCCTACCCCCCCACACACCACCTCCCCCACCCCCCAAACCCCACCCATCCCTACCCCCCAACACCCCCCCACCAACCCCCACCCACCCCCACCACCCACACCAACCCACCCCCACCCCCCCCACCAAAAACCAACCACCCCACAAAACACAACACCAACAATAACCCAACACCACACCACAAAACAACACCCACAAACACAACCCCAACCACCCAATCTCCCACCCCCAAAACACACACCACCCAAACACCCTCACAACTAATATACCAACACCTATCCCACACCACACCTCACACACACACACACACTATCACACCTCTCTTCCCCCCATCAACACAACCCCCAATCACACTCCCCACTACACTCACCACACATCTCCCTACACTCCTCACACTCACACTATCACCTCACACACCACACTCATCCCTCTTCTCCACTCTCACTACCCCCCTCTCACTCCACACTCACACCCATCACTATCTCACCTCACCTCTCCCCCTCATCTTTTCTACCCCTCTCACACTTTCTCTCTCCCTCTCACACCAAATCTCTTCCACTCTCACACCCCCATCCACTCCATCTCACCCTCTCACACCCCCACTAACACTCCCTCTCTCTCCTCTCTCACTCACTCTACTCATCCCACACTCTCCACACATCTCACTCACTCACACCCCTCTCACTCCTCTATCTCTCCCTCTCTCTCTCCCCTCTCTTCTCCCCACTCTCTTCCTCTCTCAACCCCAATACCAAAACCCCCCACAAAAACCATATACCCCCCATCCCCACATCCCAACCCTCCCCACACCACCCCCCACCAACCACAAAAAAACCCCACACCAACCAACCAACCTACAACACACACCCACCCACCACTACCCCCCAACCACCCAACCACACCAAACAACCCCCCCCCACACCAACCCAACCCACCCACCCCCCACCCCCCCCCCACACTCAACCCCCACCACCCCCACCTCAACACCCACCACCACCACCCCCCACCCCAAACCCACCCCCCCCCCCCCCCCCAACAACCACAACACCACAAACACCCCCAACAACAACAACACCCCAACCAAACTAACACCTAACCAACCCACACCATACAACCACCATCATCATCAAACACACCCCCTACAATAATTCAACCTCCCCCCTACAAATAACTCCCCCTTCCCAACAACACCCCCAACAACAAAAACCTCACAAATCCTCATCATACACACCCAACCTCATAAACACCATCCACAACACCACCAATCCACAACAAACCCAAAACAACTCCACCCAAACAACACCACCACACAACCAAACACCACCAACAACACAACCAACCCCAACCACAAAACCAACCCAACCCCACTAAAACAAACCCCTACCACAACAAAAACCAACAACAACCTCCACCCAAACAACAACCCAACCACACCACCAACACAACAAAACACCCCCCCCACCCCCAACAACCAACAACCAACCACCACACCCCCCCCCCCCACCCCCCCACCCACACCACCCACCCCACCCAACCCACCCCAACCACAAAAACCCCCCCAAACCCAATACCCCCCACCACCCCCCCAACCCCCCCACCCCCCCCACCAACCCCCAACCACAACCCCACCCCACAACCCCCACAAAAACAAACCACACCCACCAAACACAACACCACACCCCAAACACAAAAACAACCACCACCAACCCCCACCCACCCCCCCCCACCCCACCCCCCCCACCAACCCCACTACCCAAACCCAAACCCCAACACCCACAAAACCAACCACCCCCCCAAAACAACCCCCCACACCCACCAACCCCCCCACCCAAACACCCCCCCCACAAACCCACCCCCCCCACCAAACCCACCCCCCACAACACAAAAAAACCCCAAACCCAAAACCACCAACACACCCCACACAAAAAACCCCACCCACCAAAAACAAAAACCCACACCCCCACCCCCAAACAAACACCAACCCCCCCCCCCCCCCCCCACCCCCCCCCCCACCCATCAAACACCACCCCCACCCCCACCCCCACACCCCCCACCCCAAACACACCCCCCACCCCCCCCCAACCCCCCCACCAACACACACACAACCCCCAACACCCACCCCCCCACCCCCCCCCCCCCCACCCCCCACCAACCCCCCCCCACACCCCCCTCCCACACACACACACACCCCCCCAACAAACCACCCCCCCCCCCCCCACCCCCCCCCCCCCCCCCCCCCCCAAACAAACAAAAAACAACACAAACCACCCCCCACACCCCCCCACCCCACCCCCCCCACCACCCCACCCACAAAAACCACCCAACCACCCCCACACCCAACCCCCACCCCCCACCCCCCCCCCCCCCCCCCACCACCCCCCCCACAAACCCCCACACACAACCCACCCCAAACAACCCCCACCCCCCCCCCCCCCCCCCCCCCCCCACCCACAAAAACACCCCCCCACCAACCCCCCACACACCCCCCCACCCACACCCACACAACCCCCACCACCCACCACCCCCCCACCACCACCTCCCCCACCACACAACCCCCCCACCCCCCACCACCCCACCACCCAAACACCACCCCCCCAACCAACACCCACACCCCTCAACCCCTACCAACACACCCACCAAAACACCACCCCCCACAACCCCAACCCCCCCCACCCCCCACCCCCCCCCCCAAACCACACCACCCCCAACCCCAACAAACAACCCAACCCCCCCCACAAACCCCCCCCCCCCCCCCCCAACCACCACCCACACCACACAACACCCCAAACCACCCACACCCCAAACAACAAATCAACAAACCCAAACACCACACACACCCCCCCCCCACCCCACCCAACAACCCCCACCCAACCCAACCCCCACCCACACCCCCCCCACCCCAACACACCCAACAACCACAACCCCCCCCCCCACCCCCCCCAACCCCCCACACCCAACCCCCCCACCCCCCCCCAAACCACAACACACCACCACCACCAACACCCCCCCACACCACCCCCACACCCCACACACCCCAAACCCAACACCCCACCACCCCCCCACACCACCCACCAAAAAAAAACACAACCACCCACAAAACCACCCCCCCCCCCCCCCCCCAACACAAACCCACACCACCCCCCACCAAACCCCCCCCCACCCCCCCCCCACACACCACCACCACACACACCCCCCCCCCCACCCCCACCCCCCCCCCAAACACACACCCCCCACCCCAACCCACACCCCACCCACCCCCCCACAACCCCCCCCCCCCCCAAACCACCACCCACACACACCAAACCACCCCCCCCACCACCCACACCCCCCACACAACAAAAACCACCCCAACCCCCACACACCACCCCCAAACCCAACAACAACCACCACCCACCCCCCACACCCCCCCCCCACCAACCCCCACCCACCCACCAACACCCCCCCCACAACCACCAACACCAACCACCACCCCCCCCCCCCCCACCCCAACCCCACACCCACCACCCAACACCCCACCCCCACCCCCACCCCCCCCCCCAAACCACACCCCACACCCCACACTATCACCCAAAACCCAAACCCACCACCATCCCTAAACCCCCATCCAACACAACCCTACACAACTAACAAAAACCCAACCCAACCCAACCACAACCCACCCCCACCCCCCCCCCACCCACCAAACACACCCACACCACACCCCAACAAACCCCCCCCAACCCCCAACCCCCCCCCCCCCACCCAACCAAAACACACCCAACCCCCCAACCCCCAACCCCCCCACCCCCACACCCCCCCCACAACAACACCCCCCCAACACCCACCCCCAAACACCCCCCCCACCCCCCCCAACCCCCCAACCCCCCACCCCCACCACAACACACCACACCACCCACCCAAAACCCCCCCACACCCCCACCCCCCCCACCCCCACCCCCCACCCCCCCCCCCCCCCACCCCACACCCCACCACCACCCCCACCCCCCCCCCCCCCCCCCACCCCACCACAACCCAACAACCCACCCAACCCCCCCAAAAACCCACCCCCCCACCAAACCACCCCCCCCCCCCCCCCCCCACCCCAAACAAACACCCCAAACCAAACACACCACACACACCCCAACACCCAAACCCCACCCCCAACAAAAACAAACCCCCCCCCCCCCCCCCACCCAACACAAAACCACACCCCACACACACACCCAAAAACCCAACCCACACAAACCCAAACCCCCACCCCCCACACCCACCCACCACACCCCCACCACAACCACCCCCCACCCACAACCCCCCCCCCAACCCCCCCACCCCCCCCACCACCACCCCCCCCCCCCCCACCAACCCCAACCCCACCCCCCAACCCCCCCACCCCCAAACACCCCCCCCCCCCCCCCCCCACACCACCAACCACCCCCCCCAAACACCACCCAAACCCCCCCCCAAACCCCCCCCACCAAACCCCCCCCCCCCAAAACAACCCCCCACCCCCACACCCCACCACACCCACCAAACCCCCCCCCCACACACCCCCACCCAACCCCCCCACAACCACCCCACCCACCCCCACAACCAAACAACCCAAAACCCCCCCCCAACCCACACAACCACCCCACCCCCACCCACCAACCCCCCCCCCCAAAAAAAAACCCCAAAAAACAACCCAACCACCAACCACACCCCCCCACACACACCCCAACCCCCCCCCACACCCCCCCCCCCACCCAACCCACACCCCCCACACACACCCCCACCCCCACACCCCCACCACCCCCCCACCCCCCACCCCAACACCCCCCAAAACACCCCCACCCCCCCACCCCCACCCCACCACCCCCCCCCACCACCCCCCCCCCCCCCCCCCACCCCCCACCCCCCCCCACCACCAAACCCACCCAACAAACCACCAACCCCACCCACCAAACCCACCACCAACCCCACACCAAACCCCACACCAACCACCCAAAACCACCACCAACCCCAACCCACCCAAACCCCACCACCAAACACCACCCACCAAACCCCACCACCAAACCCACACAACCCCACACAACACCTCCACCAAACCCAACACCAAACCCCCACACCAAACCCACCCACAACCCCACCCACCAAACCACCCCACCAAACCCCCACCAACACCCCACCACCAAACCCCACCACACAAACAACCAACCCAAACACCCACCCCCCCCACCCCACAACAACCCACACACCACCACACCCCCCCCCACCCACCCCACCCACCACACCCACCCACAACCCCCCCCCCCCCACCAAACACACACACCCACCCCACCACAAACAACCACCCCAAAAACACCCCCACAACCCCAACAACCCAACCACACACACCCAACCCCACAACCACCCACAACACAACCAACAAACAAAACCCAAAAACAACCCAAACCCACACACACCACACACACCCCCAACCCCCCCCAACCCCACAACAACCCAACCCCCAAACCCACCACCCCCCCAACCCCCAACCCACACCAACCCACCAACCCCCACAAACCCCAAACCCCACCCCAACCCCCACCCACAAACCCCCCCCCAACCCCCCAACCCCCCAACCCCCACACCCAACACCCAACCCCCCCCCCAACCCCCCAACCCCCAACCCCCAACCCCCAACCCCCCAACCCCCAACCCCCCAACCCCCCAAACCCACCCCCCTACCCCCAAACACCCCAACCCCCCCCCAAACCCCAACCCCCCCCCAAACCCCCCAACCCCCCCCCAACCCACACACCCCCAACCCCCAAACCCCATCCCACCCCCCCCCCCCACACCCCCCCCCCACACACCCCTCACACAAAACCCCCCCAACCACCCCTACCCACCAAACACAACCCCCCCCCCCCCCCCACCCCCCAACACCAACACAACACAACATACCCCTTCATCCAAACCAACAAAAAATCCAACCAACCCCAAACTCTCCCATCACCCCCCACAATACCCAATAACCAAAAACACAACCCCCAACAACCACCCAAACCACCCCCCACCCACCACAAACCAACAAACCAATATAACAAACACCTACACACACAAACAACCACCCACACCACCCCCCCCCCCAACCACACACAACCAAACAAACCCCCCCACACCCACCCACAAAACAAACCCACCCCACCACCCCCCACCCCAAAAAAACATACCAACATAACAACACAAACAAAAATACCCCAAACACACCCCCAACAACACCCCCCCCCACCCCCCCCACCCCACCACCCCCCCACCCCCCCCACCCCACCCCCCACCCCCACCCCACAAACCACACCAAAACACACCCAAACAACCCACCCCCCACCCACCCAAAACCCCACCCACCCCCCCCCACCCCCAACCCCCCCCCCACAACCATCCAAAACAACCACACCACCCACACCCCACACACCCCCCCACACCACCACACACCCACCCCCCCAACCCCCACAACCCCAACCCAAACACATACCCACAACAACAACAACACACAACACCACACCCCCCCCCAAACCCCCCCCCACCACCACCCAAACCCCAACACCCAACCCACCACACCCCAACCCCACCAAACCCAAACACACCCCACCCCCCCCCACCCCACCACAAACCCAACCACACAACACCACCCCCCCAAACCCAACCCTCCATAACCCCAACCCCCACCAAATATAACACAAACCACCCAACCACCAAACCAAAACCACCCCACCCCCAAAACACACACACAACCCACCCTCCCACACCACCCCCCCCCCCCCCAAACCCCAAAAACCCCCCCCCCCCCCCCCAACCCCCCCCCCCACCCCCCCCACCCCCCCACCCCAACACAACCCCCCCACCAATACACCCCACCCAACCCCCCCCCCAAACCACAACACCCACAATCAATTCCACCACACCAACCTAAAACCAACCCCCACACCCACACAAACCACAAACCACCACACACCCCCCCCCCACCACCCCACCACCCCAACACCAACACCACCCCCACCTCCAAACAACAACACACACCAACCACCACCCCCACAAACCAAACCAAACACCACCAAAACATTAACAAAATAAAAACCCCACCACCCACACCCCCCACCCCCCACCACACACCCCCCCCCCCCCCCCCCACCAACCCCAACCACACCAACCCCAACAACACCCCCACCCCCCACCCCCCCCAACACCCCCACCAACCCACCCCCCCCCCCCCCCCCCCCAATCACCCCCACACCCACCCCCCCCACCAAACCCCACCACACCCACACCCAACCCACCCCAACCAACCAAACCCCTTAACCCCCACAAACCCCCCACCCCCCCCCCACCAACCCACCCCCCCAACACCCCCCACACCCCCACACATACACACCACAACCAAATCCAACAAAACCAACCCCACAAATCCACCCCCCATAACCACAAACACCCACCCCCCCCCACCACAAACAAACCCAACACTCCCCCCCAACACACAACAAACCAACCAAACCCCACACCACCCCCAAACCAACCCACCCCCCCAAAAAAAAAAATATCTTACCAACCACCCCACCCCCCACCCCCCCCCACACAACAATAACCCCCCCACCACCCCCAAAACCACTAACCACTCTAAATCTTTCCCCTACATTCTAAATACACTCAAATAACCCCCCCCACCACCAACCACAACCATACATAACCACCATTAACACCACCCACCCCAAACCCCCACCCCCCCCCCCCACCAAATAAAATAATCTCTCTCACCCCCCAATCAACTCATCCCCAACCTACATATTATTCTACAACAACAACCCCACCCCCCACACCCCACAAAACCCCCCCCCCCCCCCCCAAACACCCAACCACACACCCAAACCCAAACACCCCCCCCCCAAACACCAAACAACAACCACACCACACCCCCACCCCCCTTCCTATATACCAAAAAACTCCACTAAAAAACTCCCCAAAAAAAACATCTACCCACACCCCCTTCCCCCTACTAATTCCCCAAACCCCTAAACACCTAACAAATACTAACACTCCCATCAACCCCCACAAAACAACCCCCAACAACCCAAACCCCCCCCCACCACCTAAACACAAACCCACCCCCAAAACACCACCCCAATACCCAATCCCACACAACACAAACCACCCACCCCCCCAACCACCAACCAAAATACACCCCCCCCCACAACCACCAACCCCCCACAACCCACCATACACACAACCAAAAAACCCCCAACAACCCCACTCACCACCCACAAACCCACAAACCCCACACCCAAAACCCCACCTCAACCCTCATAACACCACCCAACCCAACCCAACATACAAACTACACAAACAAACCCAACCATCTCCCCCCACCCCCCACACACCAAAAATCCACCCCAAAACCCACCCCCACAACACCCACCCAATAAACCCAACACACCTCACACCCACCCCCCCCCACCACCCCACCCCCCCCCAACACCCCCACAACCCACACCACACAAACCCCACCCACTCCCCCACCCTACACACCCCCCCCCCCCACCACCCACCCCCCCCCCAACCACCACCCCACCCCCCCACAAAATAATCAATCTATTCCCCCACCCCCCACCCCTATAATATACCATACTCAAACCACCCTCACCCCCCCAACCCACTCACCCCCCTCACCCCCAAAACAAACAAACCAACCACACCAACACCCCACATCAAAAAACAACACCCATCCAAAACCAAACAATAATATTCCCCATTCTACTCTACTCTCACCCCAACCCTAATACCCCCCCTACCCCCCACACATTCACCCCCCCCAACCCCCCACCCACCTCAACCCCCATAACAATTCCCCCCCCCACTATAAAAACACCCACACCCATCATAAACCCCTTCCCCAAAATCACAACCCAAACACAACACCAAACCCCAACCCAACACCCCACACCTAAACACTCCCACCAAACACCCACTAATACCAAAAAACACCTCCAACCCCCACCCCCCCACCAACCAACAAACCCACCCACAAACCCCCAAAAAATACCCAAAAACCCCCCACCCCCAAACCCACCACACCACCCAACCAAACAAAAAAAAAAACCCCCCAAACCACCCCCCCCCCCATCCCCAACCAACACCCCCCCCCCCCACCCACCCCCAACCCAACCCCCTAAAAAAACTTAACACCAACCAACATCCAACCCCAACCCAACTCCCTACCCCCCCACCACCACCCAACCCTAACCCCCAACACCTAATCCCCAATCCCCCCCAAACCCCCCCCCCCCACACAACAAACACCAAATAACCAAAAAACAACTCAAACCTAATTCTAAAATCCAACCACAAAAAAAAACACACCAATCAAACAACCCACACACAAAAAATCCCCTCTCCCCCCCCCCCCCACACCCCCCCCCCCACACTCCCCCCACCCACAACCCACCCACAAAAACCCCCCCCACCCCCCCACACCCCCCACACACACCCCCCCAACCAACCAACCCCCCCAAAAACCCCCCACCACCACCAACCCCCCACACAACACCCCACCCACCCCAAACACCTTCCCCACCCCACCCCACAACCCCACCCACCCCCCAACCACCCCCACACACCCAACACCACCCAAAACACCCAAACACCCCACCCCCCCACCCCCACCCATCCCCACCACCACCAACATACACCCAACCCAATACCAATACCCAAACCAAAACCCACTTTATTCCCCATTACACACAACCCCCAAACACCCCATAACACCCCCACCCCCCCCAAAAACAAACCCCCCCCCCCCCCACCCACCACACCAACCACATAAATATACATCTCCCACACTTACCTTCACACCCTCATACTCATCACCTCACATACCACACACACCCCACACACACACAACACACCAACACAACCACTCACACACCACACCACTCACACAACACCCCCCCACACAACCCACACTCTCACACACACCCACACACAACCACACTAAACCACTCACTCTCCACAACAACACACACACACCCCACACTCACCCCACACACACCCCACACACACACAACACACCTCACACACCCAACACACCCCACAACAACCCACACACACACCACCACCCACACCACACACACACCACACACACCACACACTCACCCCCACACTCACCAAACAACACTCCAACACACACCCCCCCACACATCCCATCACAACCAACACACCCACAAACCTCTCAAAACCCCTCACTCTCATCCCCTCCTCTATTCCCATCTCACATCCACATCAACAAACAAAAACACCCAACCACATCCCCCAAACCACCCAACCCCCACCCCACTCATCTATACCAATATCAAAAAAACAAACAACTATACCCAACTCCAACATACCTATTAATCCTCCTCTTACCCCCCTCTCAATCACACCCTTCCCCATACCCCCTCATACTCCTTCCCCTCCCATCACCCCCCCTCCCAAACAAAACAAACTATAACCCCCCCACCCTCCTCCTATAACCTCAAACCCAAAAAAACAACCCCATCCACACCCACCACCCCTCCCCCCCCTTATCCAATCCCACACCCCCCCCCCCTTCACCCCTTCAACTTCCCCTCCATCTTCATTACTCCCTACAACTTTCATCCCATCCCCCAACCACATCATCTCCATTACAACAAAACCTACCCTTCCAACTACAATCACATCAACATACCCCTTACCTCCCCATCCCATCATCATACTCCCCCCCTAAATTACTATCCCCATCATTTAAAACACCCCAATCAACAATAACCACCCCCCATCATCATATCACTCCATCAACATATAACTCCCCAACCCATAAAAACCAACACAACCACAAAACCACCAACAACACACCACACCCCATACATCTACACCTCCCCATACCAAACAAACACCAACCCTCTAAAAATAACCCCCTTCCATCATCAACACACCCCAACAACTAAACACCCCTACATAAAACACACCAACAACTATAAACCCCAACCAATCCAATACACCATCAACAACAAAACCACCCCACAACCACACCCCACAACAAAAACACCACCCAACCCACCCCCCCCCCCCACAAAACCCCAAAAACAACCACAACCACCCAAATACCCACCCCCCCACCACCCCCAACACACCCCCCACCAAACCCCCCCCTCCACCCAACCCCCACACCCACCCCCCCAACAAACACCACAACCCCACAACCACCCAAACACAACCCTAAAAAAAAAACCACCCCAACACAAACACACACACCCAACATCCCACCCAAACCCATAAAAACAACCCACCAACACCCCCACCAACCCCCCCCCACACCACCCACCCCCACCAACCCCAACAACAAAACCCCCCCCACACCCACACCCCCACACACCCCACACACACCCAACCTCCCACCCCACAACAACACACACCACCCACCCCCACCAACATAACACAACCAACCATACAAACCACCACCCAACCCCACAAAAAACCCCCCCCCAAACATACAAACCCCAACCAAACCACCACAACCCCAACACCAACCCCCACACCCACAACAACACCAAACAACCCACACACCCCCCCCAACCACACCCCAACCCCCCCCCCCCCCCACACCCCCCCCCCACCCCAAAACACCCAACCCCCCCCCAACCCCCCACCCCCACAACCCCCCACCCCAACACACAACCCCCACCCCCCCACCCCCCCCACAAACCACCAACCACCCCCCAAAAACCCCACCCCCCCCCCCCCCCCCCCCCCCCCCCCCCCCCCCACAACACATACCCCCCCCCCCACCTCCCCCAAAAACACACACACCCACCCCCCCAACACAACCCCCCCCCCCCCACCCCCCCCCCCCCCCCCCCCCCCCCCCCACCAAACAAAAAACAACACCACACACCACCCAACACACCCACACCCCCAACCCCCACCCACCAACCCCAACCCAACCACCCCCACCCCCCCAACCCCCCCCCCACCCCCCCCCCCCCCCCCCCCACACCCCCCCCACCCAAAACCCCCCCACACCACAACCACCCCCACCAACCCCCCCCCCCCCCCCCCCCCCCCCCCCCCCACCCAAAAAACACCCCCCACCAACCCCCACACACACACCCCCCACCACCACCCACAAACCCACCACCCCCACCACCCCCCCACCACCACACCCCCCCACCCACCACAAACCCCCCACCACCCCCCCCACCACCCACCACCCAAACAACCCCCAACACAACCCACCACCCAACCCCAACAACAACCCCACCACAACACCACCCCCCAAACCCCAACCCCCCCCACCCCACCCCCCCCAAACCACACACCCCCCCCACCCAAACCAACACCCCACCCACCCCCCCCCACAAACCCCCCCCCCCCCCCCCCAAACCACCACCCAACCCACACCACAACACCCCCCAACCACCCACCCCCCCCACACAACAAAAACCAACACACCAAACACACACACAACCCCCCCCCCACCCCACCACAACCCACCACCCCAACCCCCCACCAACCCCCCCACCCAACACCACCCCAAAAACCACAACCCCCCCCCACCCCCCAACCCCCCCACACCCACCCCCCCCAACCCCCCCCAACACCCCCACCACAACACCACCCACCACCCCAACACCCCCACACCCACCCAACACCCCCACACACCACCCAAACACCCCACCCACCCCCACCCACACCACCCACCCAACAAACCAAAAACCCAACCACCCAACACCACCCCCCACCCACCCCACAACCACACCCACACACCCCCACCAAAACACACCCCCACCCCCCCCCCCCCCCACCACCACAACCACACACACCACCCCCCCACACCCACCCCCCCCCCCACACCACACCACCCCCCCCACCCCCCACAAACCCCACCACCCCCCCCCCCACAAAACCCCCCCCCCCCCCCCACACCAACCACCACACCACCACCAAACACCCCCAACACCCAACACCCCACACAAAAAACAACACCACCCAACCCCCACAAAACCCCCCAACCCCCAACACACAACCACCACCCACCCCACACCCCCCCCCCACCAACCCCCACCCACCCACCCAAACACCCCCCCACAAACACCAACACAAACACCACCCCCCCCCCCCCCCCCCAACCCCACCCCACCCACCCCAACACCCCCACCCCACCCACCCACCCCCCCCCCCCCCCAAACCACCCCCACCCAAACCCCCCCACACACCCCCCCAAACACCAAAACCACCACCCCCACCCCACCAAAACACACACCACCACAAACAAAAAACAAATACCACCCACACAACCACACCCCCACCCCCCCACCCACACACCCACACCACCCCCCACCCAAACCCCCCCCCACCCCCCCCAACCCCCCACCCCCCACCACAAAAAAAACCACAACACACCCCCACCCCAACCCCCACCACCCCCCCACCCAAACCCCCCCACACAACACCCAACACCCACCCCAACACCCCCCCCCCCCCCCAACCCCCAACCCCCAACCCCCCACCCCCACCCCCCCCAACCACAACCCACACCACCCCCCCAAAAACCCCCCCAACCCCCCACCCCCCCCCACCCCCCACCCCCCACCCCCCCCCCCCCCCCCCACCACACCCCCACCACCACCCCACCCCCCCCCCCCCCCCCCCCCCCACAACCCACCAACCACCCCAAAACCAACCCAAAAAACCCCCACCAACCACCCCCCCCCACCCACCCCCAAACAACACCACACAACACCACCAAACCACACCACCCCAACCCCCAAAACCACCCCAACCCAACACCAACCCCCACCCACCCCACCCCCAAACACAAACCCACCACACCCAACCACACCCAAACCCAACCACACACACCCCCAAACCCCCCACCCCACACCCACCACCCACCACCCCACCACAACCACCCCAACCCACAACCCCCCCACCCCCCCACCCCCCCCCACCACCCCACCCCCCCCCCCCCCCCCCACCAACCCCCCAACCCCACCCCCCCCCAACCCCCACCCCCAAAACAACCCCCCCCCCCCCCCCACCCACCCCCCCCACCCCACCCACCCCCCCCAACAAACACCACCCCAACCCCCCCAAACCCCCCCCCACCCCAACACCCCCCCCAAAACCACAACCCCCACCCCCACACCCCCCAACCCACACCACCCCAACACCCCCCCCCCACAACCCCCCCCACCAACCCCCCCAACCAACCACCCACCCCACCCCACAACCAACACCCAAACAACCCCCCCAACCCACAAAACCCACCACCCCCACCCCACCCAACCCCCCCCCAAAACCCCCAAAAAAAACCCCCACACCACAACACAACCCCCACACAACAACCCCCCCCCACACCCCCCCCCACCCCCCACCCCACCACCCCCCCCCACACACACCCCTACCCCCCACACCCCCACACCCCCCCCACCCCCCACCCCAACACCCCCAAAACACCCCACCCCCCCACCCCCACCCCACCACCCCCCACCACCCCCCCCCCCCCCCCCACCCCCCACCCCCCCCCCACACCAAACCCCACCCACCACACACCACCAAACCCCCCACCACAAACCCCACCACCAAACCCACCACAAACCCACCACAAACCCACCCACCAAACCCCACAACAACCCCCACCCACCAAACCACCACCAAACCCACCACCAAACCCCCACCACCAAACCCCACCACCAACCCACCACCAACCCCCACCACCAAACCCCACCACCAAACCCCACACCAAACCCACCACCAACCCCCCACCACAAACACCACCCACCAAACCCCACACCAAAACCCACCACCCCCCCCCCCCCCCCCCCCCCCCCCCCCCCCCCCCCCCCCCCCCCCCCCCCCCCCCCCCCCCCCCCCCCCCCCCCCCCAAAACCCCACACACAACACACCAACCCAACACCCACCCCCCCCACCCAACAACAACCACACCCCCCCAACCCCACACCCCCCCCCCCCCAACCCACCCAACACCACACACCCCACAACCCCCCCCCCCCCCACCAACCCACACCCACACCCAAAACACAACACCCAAAACAAACCCCCACAACCCAACAACCCACACACAACCAACCCAAAAAACCACACAACCCCCCACACACCAACCACAAAAATCCACCACACACAACCCCCAAACCCAACACACACCACAACACACCCAACCCCCCCCCCAAACCCCAACCCCCCAAACCCCCAACCCCCCCACCCCCCCCCCAACCCACACACCCCCCAACCCCCCAACCCCCACAACCAACAACCCCCCACCCACACCCCCAAACCCCAAACCCCCCCCAAACCCCCCCCCACAACCAACCCCCCCAACCCCCCCCCAACCCCCCAAACCCCAACACCCAACCCCCAAACCCCCCAAACCCCACAAACCAAAAATCCCCCAACCCCCAACCCCCCACCCCCCAACACACACCAAAAACCCCACCAAACCCCCCAACCAACATACACACTACACCCCCCCCTAACCCACCACCACCACAAAACACAAAACCCCCCAACCACCCCCCCCCCCCCCCCCCCACCTACCAACCACAACAAATACACCCTCACCTAAAAATAACAATACAAATACCCTAAAACCCACATTTAACACCTAACACCACCACCCCCCAAACCCCCCCCATACTCCATACCTCTATCCATCATCATATTTCAAATCATAATTTACCTAAAAATTCCCCCATATTCACTCCATCTCCCACAATCCCCCCATATCTTAAATCATCCAATTACATACACCCTTCCTACACACCCACCCTCAACAAACACCACAAAATACCAAATTTCATCTCTATCAATTATTATCTATATTACCACCCCCCCCCATATCCCTCCCACCCCCCCCCTATAAACTCTTCCCCCTTTCCCATTCTCCCTTTAAACCCCCCCTCTAAAACATCCCCCCCCCATATTTTTCCCCTAACCCTCACTAAACCACCAACAAAACAAAAATAACAACTACCACACCAAAACCACACAAAAAACCAAAAACCAACCACCAACCAAACCAACAACAAACACAACCCCACACATAAACCTACCAACAACCCATCAACACCCCCCACCCACCCCTCCCCCCCTCCCCCCCAACCCCCCCCCCCCCCCCAACCCCAACCCCCCAACCCCAAAACTACCATTATTACCCACCACCAAACCTCCCACCAAAACCAACACACCAAAACCCACCAAAACACCACCCTACCACCCCCCCCCCCCCCCAACACCCACCCCCCACCCCCCCCCCACACCCCAACCCCCCCCCCCACCACCCACCCACCCACAAACACCCCACCACAACCACCCCACCCCCCAACCCACCCAACCCCCACACAACCCCCACATAACAACCAACAACAACAACAAACCCAAAACCCACCCCACCACCCAACACCCAACCACACCACCCACCCCCACACACCCCCCCCCCCCCCAACCACAACCCACCCCCAACCCATAACTACACCCCCCCCCCCCCCCCACCCCCCCCAAAACCACCCACCACAAAAACCCCCCATAACCCCCACCCCACCAAAACCACAACCAAAAAACAAAACCACCCAAAAAAACAACACACACCAACCCCCCAACACCCAAACAAACCCCAACCCCCACACCCACCCCCCCCCCCCCCACAACCCCAAAACCCCCCCCCCCCCCCCCCCCCCCCCCCCCCCCCCACCCCCCCAACCCACAACCCAACACAAACCACCCCACCACCCCCCACCAACCCCCCAACACCCCAACAACCCCCACAACCCAACCACAACCCCCCACACAACAACAACCAAAAACCACCACACACACCCCACCCCCCCCCCAACCCACCAACCCAACCACCCACACCCACACCAAAAAACAACCCACCCCAACCACCACCCAACCCAACCAAAAAACACCACCACCACAAACACCCAACAAAAAACCCCCACACCAAAACCCAACCCAACACCAACCCAACCACCCCCCACACCCCCACCCCCCCAAACCCCCCCCACCAACCCCCCCACCCCCCCCCCCCCCCCAACCACCCAACACCCCACCCCCCCCACCAAACACACACCCACACCCAACCCAACCCAACCCAAACCCATCCAAAAAAACCACAACCCACCACCCCACACCCACCCCCCACACCCCCACACCCCCCCACCCCACCCAACCACACCAAACCCCCACAAACAAACAACCCCCCCAAAACCCCCCCCCCCAAACAACCTACCCACCCCCACCACAACACAACAACACAAACCCAAACAACAACAAACAAACAACCCCCACACCACCCCACACCCCCACCACCCCCCCCCACAAACAAAAACAAAACCACCCCCCACCCCCCCCCCCCCCACCCCCCCAACCCCCCCACCCCCCACCCACAACCTAAACCAACAAACCAACCAACACCCTCCCCACAACCACAACCCCCCCCCCCACCCCCCACCACACCCCCCAACCCCCCCCCCCCCCACCAACACCAACACACACACACCCCACACCCACAACACCACAACAACAACCCACAACAACCCCCCCCCCCCACCCCAAAACCCCCCCCCCCAACCCACCCCCACCCATCACCCACACCACCAAAACCCCCCCCCCCAACACCAAAACCAACCACCCAACCCCCCCCACCCCCCCCCCCCCCACACATAAACCCACCCCTCACAAACCACAAAAAACCAAACCCCCCAAAACCCTCCCCCCCCAACCACCCCCCACTACCCACATACCATACCCCACACAAAAAAACACCAAAACCAACACAAACTAACCACCACCTCACCACACCCCCAACACCAAACTCCCCCTCCCCACAAAACACCCCAACTAAAAACAAAACAACCCCCCCCCACCCACAAAAAACCAACACACCCCCCCTCCACCCCCCACAACCCACACCACCCAACCAAACACCCCCACCCCCCCCAAAACAAAACCCACCCCCCCAACACCCCCACACACCCCCACCACCCACCTCCACCCCCCCAAACACACCAAAACCAAATAAACCCCAACAACACACACCACCCAACCAACCAACAAAACAACAAACCCACAAAACACACACCACCCCCACCCCACACCTAAAACCCCCCAAAACCCAAAACCCACCCCACCAACACCCACCACAACAAAACACACACACACACAACCCCCCCCCCCCCCACCACCACAACCCCACCACCCCCCCACCCACACCCACACCAACACACCACCACCAACCACCCCACCCCAACCCCCCACAACCAACCCCACAAAACCCCCAACACAACCCCCCCCCACCCACACAACAACCAACACAAAAACAACAACAACCCACCCAACCCTCAAACCACCCCCCCCACAAACAACCCCCCCCCCCCCCCCCCCCCCCAACCCACCCCACCCAACACCAACCCCCAAACCCAACCCCCACATCAACCATACAAACACACCACCCCCCATATTACCCCCTCCCCCCAAAAACCCACCCCCCCCACCACCTCAACCCAAAAACTACCCACAAAAAAATCCTATACCTAATTTTATCAAACCCACTAATCAACACCATAACACACCACAATCACCACACAAAAACAAACAACACACCCTCACCACACACCAACCACCTCAAAAAACCAACCAAAACACCACCCAACCCCAACCCACCAACCCAACCAAACCAACCCAACAACAACCAACAACAACAACACCACCAAACCCACCACCCCACCCAACCCAAACTACACCCCCCCCCACCCCCCAACCACAACCACAACCCCCACCCCCCCCCCAACCCCCACCCCCCCCCCACCCCACACCTACAATACACCACACCAAAAATACCCAACCCAACAAAACCCCCCCATAACATACACCATCCAAATTACCCCCCAAATCCATCCCCATCCCCCCCCTATCCCCTAACCCCCCCTATACCTAAATATCAAATTAATCAAACTATAAAATATATATCCCCATCAATATATCTAAAATCAAAAAATAAACAAATAACAAACAACTCTACCAAACAAACAATACCCTCACCCCCCCCCACACCCCCCCTACCACTACCACCCAACCCCCCAACCCCCCATCAAACACCCAACCCAACCCACCCCCCAAACAACCCCCCCCCCACCCCACCAACCAACCCCCCCCCCACACACCCCCCACCCAAAAACCCACACACCCCCCCCCCAAACACCCCCCCCCACCCCCCCACCACCAACCAAAACAACCACCCAACCCCCCCCCACCCCAAACTCCCCACCTCAACCACCCAAATCACACAACCCCCACCCCCATCCCCCACCCCCCCACCACCCACCCAACACCACACCAACAACACCCACACCCAAAACCCCAAATAAATATACATTTTCCCCTACTCCCCCCCACATACCAAACCCCTCCCTTTCTCCCACCCTAAAACCAACCCACCCAAACACCAAATACAAACACATAACACAAATACACCCCCTTTTCTTACCACTCACTCCAAACAACCTCATCAACCCACACTACTCCTCACACACCCCCCATCACACAATCCCTCTCACTCCCCATCTCTCATCCTCACTCTCCCACTACTTACACCCCCTCTTTTACCCTAAACACCACACACACCACAACACCACATAACCACACACACAACCAACACAACACCACACACATACACCACCAACACACCACAACACCACACACACACCACACACACCACACAACCCCCAACACTCCCACACAACACCACACACACACCACACCCACACCACACAAACATCTACTACACCCCTCTCTACATCTCCAACACAACCACACTCACACCCCCCACTACATACCAACATCCTCTCATCTCCCCTCACACTCACCCACTCTCTCACACTCAACCCCTCTCTCTCTCCCCAACACAACACCAACAACCCACACACACACCACACTCAACCCCACCACACAATATACAACACCACCCATACAAACATATCCCCCCATACCACAATCCCCCCCCAACCACCCCCACTTACACCCAACCCCCCACCCCAATCAACCCCAACATACCCACACCCACCACCAACCAAACACCAAACCCCACCCCACCAATAACCCCCCACCAAAAACACAACCAACCACAAAACCCCCCCATCTCCAACCCCCACCAACCCACCAACACCCCCACACCACCAAAAAACACCCACCCCCACAAAAAACCCCCACCACACACCCCCCACCCCAAACCACCCCCCCCCCCCCCCCCCCAACACCAACAACACCACCACAACAACACCCAAACAACAAAAACACCAACCACAAAAACACCTACACAAAAACACCAAACCACAACCTACTTCCCTACAACAAAACCACCAACATCATACTACACCAACAAACTAACCTACCAACACAAACCACCCAACAAAACAAACACCCAACCACATTAACACCAAACCCTCTAAACACATACATCATACCAAACACCTACAACAAAAAACAAAACCACACCCAAACCACACCATCAACAACATCAACCCTAATCAATTACACCACCACAACAACAACACACCCTTACCACAATAAAACTACAACACATACACCACCTTCCACTCCATACTCACCCTTCCAACTTACCCCCCCCCCCTCCCATCTACATACTCCCCTTACCATCTTATAAAAAACCCTCAACCCCCACTCACACAACAACAACAACCCCCCCCCCCACACCCCCACCCAACACCCACCATCAACTCCACCAACCCAACCATCCCACACCAATCTTCCCCCATATCCAACCAACAACCATTACCCCCCCCCACCACCCACCCACCAACCCCCCAACAAACCCCAACCCCACAATCCCCACCCCCCCCCATCAAAAACCCCCCCCTATTTAACAAAAACCCACCCCAACAAAACCAATACACCCACACCCACCCCCAAACAACATATTCAACCCTCAACAACCAACACCCCCCATACCCCACACTCAACACACCCCCCCCACAACAATAACCCCACAAACACCCAACCCCCCCCCCCCCCACAACCCAAAAAACCCCCACAACACCCAACCACCCCACCCAAAACATCCCCACCACCACCCACCCCACCCAACCAACACAACACACCACCACCAACCCCCCCCCCCCCCACAAACAAACCCAATCCCAACAAACAAACACCCCACCCAACACCACCCACCAAAACACCCAAACACCACACCCCCCCCCCCAACCACACCCCAAACCCCCCCCCCCCCCCCCCCCCCACCCCCCCCCCCCCACCCCCAAAACACCAACCCACCCCCCACCCCCCACAAACCACCCACCCCCCACACCACACACACCCCCACCCCCCCCCCCACCCCCCCCCCCACACCCACCAACCACCCCCAACACAAACACCACCCCCCCACCACCCCCCCCCCCCCCCCCCCACCAACCCCCCCCCCCACCCACCCACCCACACAAACAAACCCCCCCCCACCCCACAACACCCCCACCCCCCCCCCCCCCCCACCCCCCCCCCCCACCCAAACAAAAAAACCAACAACCACACACCCACCCCCACACCACCCCCCCCCACACACCACCCCCACCAAAAAAACCCAACACAACCACCCCCCCACCCCCACAAAACCCCCCCCCCCCCCCCCCCCCCCACCCACCCCCCCCCAACCCCCACCCACCCACCCCCCCCCACAAACCCCCCACACCACAACCCACCCCCCACCAACCCCCCCCCCCCCCCCCCCCCCCCCCCCACCCCAAAAAAAACCCCCCCACCCAACCCCCCCCCCCCCCACACACCCCCCACCACCACCCCCAAACAACCCCCACAAACCCCCCCACACCCCCACCCACCACCACCCCCCACCCACCCAAACACACCCCCCACCACCCCCCCACCCAACCCACCCCACCCAAACCACCCCCCCACACACACACCCCACCACCCCCCCAACCCCCAACCAACACACACTACACAACACCACACCCCCCCTCACAACCCAACCCCCCCCACCCCCACCCCCCACCAACACAAACCACCCCACCCCCCCAAACCCAACAACACCAACCCCAACCCCCCCACCCCCCACAACCCCCCCACCCCCCCCAACACACAACCCTCACCACAACCCCCCCCACAACCCCACCCCCCAACCCACCAACACCCCCCCACACAACAAACCAACACAACCCAAACACCACAAACAAAACACACCCCCCCCCCCAACCCACCCACAACCCCCACCCACCCCCAACCCCCCCACAACCCCCCCACCAAAACACCCAACAAACACAACCCCCCCCCCCAACCCCACCAACCCCCCACACCCCAACCCCCCCCACCCCCCCCCCCCCCCAACAACAACAACAATACACCACCCACCACCCCAACACCCCCCCCCACACCACACCACAACCCCCACACACCCAAACCCAACACCCACCATCCACCAACACACACACAACCACCCAACAAAAAAATCCCAACCACCCCACACCAAAACAACCCAACCCCCCCAACCCCCCCCAAACAACCCCCACAACCAAACCCAACCCCACAAAACCCACCCAAACCACCCCCCCCCACACACACCAAAAACACACCCCCCCCCACACCCCACACCCCCCCCCAAACCCAAACCCCACCAACACCAACCCCAACCAAACCCCACCCCCCAACCCCCCCCCCACAAACCCCCCCCCCCCCCCCCCAACACCAACCACCCACACACACCAAACCCCACCCCCCCCCAACACCCAACCCCCCCAAACAACAAACACAACACCCCCAAACCCCCCCCAAACACCCCAACCCCCCCCAACAACCACCCAAACCAAAAACACACCCACCCACACCACTCCCCCCCCCCCCAAACAACACCCTCCAACCCCCCCCCTCCAAACACCCCCCCCCAAAAACCACCAAAACCAAACACCCCCACCACCCCCCCACCCCCACAAAATTACCCCCCCCCCCCACCCCCCCACCCAAAAAAAAACCCCCACCCCTACCCACCCCCCACCCCCCCACCCCCCCCCTAAAACACACCAACCCCAAACCCCCCACTAACCACCAACCCCCATACACCCAACACACCACAACCCACTACCCACCCAAACAAACCAACTATAACAACACACAAAACCAAATCCACAACAACCCCAACCCCACCCCACAAACAACCAAAACCCCCCACACAACACCCACAAATACCCACCAACCACCCCCACAACCCCCCCACCCCCACCCCACCACTACACAACCCCCACCAAAAACCCCCCAACCCCCCCCCCCCCCCACCCACACCCCCCCCCCCCCACACAAAACACCCCCAACACCCACCCCCCCACTCCCCCCCCCCACCCACACCAACCCCCCAACCCACCCCACCACCCCACCCCAAACACACCAACACCACCCACCCAAAAACCCCCCCCACACCCCCCACCCCCCCCCACCCCCCCACCCCCCCCCCCCCCCAACCCCACCACCCAACCCACAACACCACCCCACCCCCCCCCCCCCCCCCCCACCCCACCCACCACACCCCATCAAACCAACCCCAAAAAACCCCACCACCAACCCAACCCCCCCCCACACCCCAAACAACCAACAACCCAAAAACCCCCACACCCCACCACCCAACCCCAAAACACCCCCAACAAACAACAACCCACCCCCACACCCCCCCAACCCCAAACACAACCAACCACACCCCCACACACACCAAAAACCAAAACCCAACCCACACACACCCAAACCCACCACCCCCCACACCCACCACCACCACCCCAACCACAACCACCCCACCACAACCCCCCCAACCCCCACCACCCCCCCCCACCACCCCACCCCCCCCCCCCCCACCCCACCCCCCAACCCACCCCCCCCCAACCCCCCCCACCCCCCAAACACCCCCCCCCCCCCCCCACCCACCACCCCCCACCACCACCCCACCCCCAACCACACCCCACCCCAACCCCCCCCCAAACCCCCCCCACACACAAACACCCCCCCCCCCCCCCCAAACACACAACCCCCACCCCAACACCCCCACCCCACACCCAACAACACCCCCCCCCCCACACACCCCCCCACCCAACCCCCCCACCAACCACCCCCCCCACCACCCCCAACAACCCAACACCCAAACCACCCCCCCCCAACCCAACAACCAACAACCCCACCCACCAAACCCCCCACACAAAACCCCCCCCCCCCAACCCCAATACAACCCCACACCACCCAACACAACACCCAACACAAACACCCCCCCCAAAACCCCCCCCAAACCCCCCCCCACCCACCACCCACCACCCCAAACCCCACAACCACCACCACCACCAAAATCACCCACAACAACCCCCCCCACCCCCCACCCAACCACCCCAAAACACCACCCCCACCCCCCCCCCCCCTCCCCCACCCCACCCACCCCCTCAACACCCCCCCCCCCCCCCCACAACCCATCCCCCCCCCCACCCCCACCAAACCCCCCCCCCCAACCCACAAAAAACACCCAACCCCCCCCACCCCACAAAAACCACCCAACCAATAAACTACCCCCCCACAAAACCCCACCAACAAAAACCCCCACACACCAAACCCACCCCCCACCAACCCCACACACCAAACCCACCACAAACCCACACAAACCACCACCCCCCAAACCCCACCCCAAAACCCCCACACCAACCCCACCAACAACCCCACCCCCAAAAACCCCCACCACATAAACCCCACCCCCCACCAAACCCACCACCACAAAATAAACCACCACAAAAACCTCCACAACAAAAACCCCCCTCCCCCCCCCTCCAAAAACCACCACCCACTCAATATACACCCACCCCCAACCCCTACACCAAACAACAAAACAAAAACCCAACCCAAAAAACCCAAACCACAACCCCACCAACAAACACCCCAAAACCATAAACACCTCCAAACCCACCACAACACTCCACACCCCCCCCCCCAACCAAACCCACTCAAACTCCCCCTCCCCACAAAAAACACACCCAACTACCAAAACCCCCCCCCCAAATCCAACCCCCAACCATCACCCCCAAATCCAATCCTCAATCTTCCCTATCCCCCTATATCCCCTCTCATCCTCCCCAAACCCCTCCTTACCTCTACCAAAAAACTCAACTCTCAACCCATAAACACACACCCCACCCTCACACACACAACTAACCCCACAATAAAACAAAACCCCACAAAACCCCCACAACCAACCACCAACCTTACCCCAAACCCCAAAACCCACCCCCACCACCAAAAAACAAACTTCCACACATCCCCCACACCCAAAAACACCCCCCCCCCCCCACCCAACTTCAAAAAAAACCAACCCAACAACACAAAACCCACTACACCCCCAACCACAAAACAAACAAACCACAAAAACAACACAACCCCCCACCCCCAAAACCACCAACCCCAACAAAATAACCCCACACCCCACAACCACAAAACCCCACCACACCTCACCAACCACAAACCCACCCCCAAAAACACCCCAATACCACCCAAAATAAACCACAATAACTAACACCCCAATAACCCACCAATCACCCCCACAAACCAAAATATTACACATAACCCCCCCCCCCCACCCAAAAACCCCAAAAATAATCTCCCTACTCCTAATACATAACACCCCCCATAAAATACCCTTAAACCCACAATAACTCAATCACCCCACCCCCCCCCCCCCAAACCCATAAACCAAACAACACCACCACCACAACACCACACAAAACATACCAACAAAACAACAACACACCCAAACCACCCACCCACACACCAAAAACCACAAAACAAACCCCCAAACACCCCCCACCACCACCCCCCCTCCACAAAACACACACACCCAACAACAAAACAACCCCCAACCCCACCCCCCCCACACCCCACAAACAAACACACAAAACACCCCACAAAAACCCATCAAATAAAACCCCCCACCCCCACCACCCCAAAAAAACAACAAATATACACACACAAAACAACACCACAAAACATACTCACACAAAATCAACCCCCCCCCACCCCCCCCCCACCCCACCCCACCCCCCACCCCCCCCCACCCCCACCCACCCCCAAACCCACCCAAACAAACCACACCAAAACCCACCAAAACAACCCCCACACCACCAACACCATAATCAACACCACCCACCCCCTACCCCACCCCCCCCCCCAAACACCCTTCCAAAACAAAACTCAAAAAAAAATCCACTCAATCCCAAAAATCAACTCCAAACCATCCCCCCCCCAAACCCTCAATACCCACCTAACAATTATCTTCAACATCCTTCCCCCTTCCCCATCCTTCCTTCCCTTCCCTTCCCTATCTTCCCCCAACCCCTTCCCAAACCCTACATACATCCTTATACATTACAACCACCCCCATCCCACACCCCCCACTCATCCTCCCCCATTCAAACAACCCTAACACTTTCACTCCACCCCAAACCTCCCCACCCCACCCAATAACAACCCCCCTCCCCCCCACCATTCCATACACCCCCCCCAATACCAACCCCTCCCTTTATACCCCCCCCTCCCCCCACCCCCCAAAAACACAATACAATACCTTAACCAACAAAAAACCACAAAAACCACCAACCCCTAACTAACTCAACACACACACATCCCACCCCCCCATACCTCCCCCACCCCCACCAATCCCCAAACAATAACCCCCCCCCCACCACACAAACCACCAACCTCCAACCACCATACCCAATACACATACTCTCCCCCAAAACAAATCCAACCCCTACCAACCCACCATACCCCCCATTCCACCCCCCCCCCCCAAATATCAAAAATCATCCACCCTATAACCCCCACAATACTACCATACCACCATCATATTCATCTCCATACCTTCCTTACCCTAATTCCCCTACATACCACCAACCAAAACACAAACATCAAACACCCCCCCCTACACCCCAAATCAACACCACACAAAAACAACACATCCCCCCCTCAACAACACCCCCCCAACAAAATACCTTACCAAACACAACCCCAACAAAAATAACATCTATTAAACCCACCACCCTAAAACATAACTCTCATTCCCAAACAAAACACCACCCCCAACCACCTCCACCCCAACCCAACTACCCCCACCATACCCCCAAACAAAAAACCCCAACCAAACCCTCTAAATCCCATATCCCCCCTCAAAAACCACCCTAATTTCCCCCCCCTACCCTCTCCCATACCTCAATTACCCCCTAAAAAACCTTACCCATATAACCTATTCAAAAATCCCACCCACCAACCCAAAACCCTCAAACCACACCATCACCCCCCTCTACCCCCCCAACCCCCCCTAAACTCCCCCCCCCATCCACCTCCCTAAAAACCCAACAAACTAAAAAACCCACAACTTACTCCCACCCCACCCACATATCCCATCATTACCTACCCACTATCATTACATCTTATTCTAAAACCCAAATAATCTTTTTACTACTTCCCCCTCCTCCTCCCCCCCCTCCCTACCCCCAAACACCCCCCCCCTCCTCCTTAATAATTCTTAAACACCACCCACTAACCCCCCCCCCAACACAAAAATCTACCAACCCCATACCACAATCCAAACATACCACATACCCAAAAAACATTCCTACAATTCAAACATACCAACAAAAAAAACCCCCCACCCACCCCCCCCCCCCACAACATCCCCCACCCAACCCAACAACAAACAACCCCCATAATAATAAACAACAACAACCCAAAACAAAATCAACCTACATATATAATCCCACCACAACCCCCCCCCCCCACACCCAAACCCCAACCCACACCACACAACCCCCCACCACACCCCCCCAACACCCACACACAACCCCCCACCCCCCCCCCCCCCACCCAAAAACCCCACACCCACAACAAACCACAAACACCCCCAAAACACCACCCAAACCACCCCCACAACCCCCCCCAAACCAAACACCATCAACACCAAACACACCCAACCAACCACACACAAACCACACCCCACCCACACCCCCCCACCACAAACAACCAACCCACAATAAACCCATACAACAAACCCCAAAATCACAACCCACCCCCCCCCCCCACCACAAACAACACAACCCCCCCCCACACAACCCACCCCACCCCCACCTCCACCACTCAAACACCCCACCCCCCCACCAAACCAACCCCCCCCAACACCCCCACAAAAACACCCAACCCACCAAACCCCCCCAAAACCCCCACCAAAAACCCAAAAACAACCCACACCCACCAACCCACCAACAAACAAACAACTACACCCACCAAACCAAAACCCCCACCCCCCACCACCCCAATAAAACCCCCCCCAAAACCACCACTCAAACCACCCCCCCACCAAATAAAACCAACTCCCACAAACCACCCCCCCCCACCACCCTACACCACACAAACCCCACACACCCCCCCACCCACACCACACCAACCCCACACCCCAAAAACCACCCACCCCCAACCCCACCCACACCCACAAAAACCCAACAAAACCCCCCCCCACCCCAAAACCAACCAACCCATACTCAAACCCACCCACAAACCCCACCCAACCACACACCCCCCCCACCCCCCACAAACCAAACCCCCCACCCCACACCCCACCAATACACCCAAACACCAACAAACCCCACACACCCCACCAACTACCAAACACACTCCACTCAACACCCCCCCCTACCAATACCACCAACCCAAACACCACCCACCCCACCACCCCCCCCCAAAACACAACAAACCAAACCCCACACCAACTATAAATCAACCCTCCTAAAAAAAACCCCCACACAACCCCAACACCCCCACACCAAACACCACACCAACCACACCCTCATATACCCTCCAAACTAATACCTAAAACATACACCCACCCACCCCCCACAACCCAAACATAACCACACAAATCAACCAAAAACAACCCAAAACAACCAACCCACCTCCACCACCCCTACCCAACAATACACCCCCCCCCACCCCCCCCCTCCCCCCCCCTCACAACCCCCCCATATCCCCCCCCCCCCCCCCCCCCCACCACACCCCACACCAACAAACAACCACAAACAAAAATACAACACCCTATCTATCCCTAACCCCCCCTCACATAACAACCTTACACAAATCCCATCAACCCCCTTACCCCCTTCACCCCCCCCACTACCAAAAACACCCAATAAAAAATCCCAAAAAACTAACTAAAACCCAAAACTATATCAAATACACAAACACACACACCACACAAAAAACAACAACAACACAAAACCCCACACACCCCCCCCCCCACACCCCACCCCACCAAACCCCCCCCCCCCACAACCCAACCCACATACCCCCCCCCCTACCCCACCCCCCCACCACCCCCCCAAACACCCCCCCACCCATACAACCACCCCAAAAACCCACCACCCAAACTACCCCACACCCACCCACCCCACCCCCACCACCAACCACCAACAAACCCCACTCTCCCCCAACCACCCCTATTCCCCCAAACTCCCCTCTAACCCCCCCCCAAAACTCACAACCCCCCACCAACCCCATTAATCCCACCTCCACCCCTCCCTATCCACACCCCAACCCCCACCTATCCCCCCAACACCACAATACCAATTATAAATAATACTTATACCCCCTAACAACTCACAACCCACCACCTACCAAAATACCCCACCCCCCCCAAAACAAAACCACCCAACACAACTTCCAACTATCAAAAAAACACCCCCTCTACAACCCCCACATCACACCTCACACACCACACACACCCCACACACACCACACAACACACCACAACACACCACACACTCCACTCACACACCCAACACTCACCACACACTAACCAAACACCCACAACCACACCCAAACACCACACACACACAACAACCCCACAACACAACCACACACACCCCACAACACACCCCAACACCACCACACACACCACAACAACCCCAACAACCCAACACACCCACAAACACCATCACACACACAACAAACCAACCCACACCACACACACCCACACACAACCACACACACACCACACCAACCACATCACACACCACTCACCCAACACACACCACACACACACCACACTACAACCACACAAACCTCAACTCACCACAAAACACCACACAACACACACACACACCCACACACAACCCCCCCAACCCCACCCCCCAACAACCCACACCACCCACCCACCCCCCACAAAACCCAACACACCCACACCCAAAACACACCACCCCACCAACAACAAACCACCACCACAACCAAACCACCAACCCCCCAAACCACACCCACAAAACCCCCCACACCCCCCCAACCCCCCCCCCACCCACCCCCCCCCACTCAACAACCCCCACCCCCCCCCCACAACAACCAACCAACAACCACCCCACCCCCAAACCCCACCCCCCCCCCCCAACCCTACCACAACCCCCCCACCACAACACCACCCTTACCCACAACAACACCAACCATCTTATACCCCCCCTACCAAAAACCTCCTATCCCATCAAAACACCAACCACATATAAAAACTCCCCCACTTCATCTTATAACACCCAACCATCTACATCCTCCTTCCAAATTATACTCACCTTCCCCCCCCCCCAACTTCAACACCCCCAACCCACAACCCACACCACCAACAAAAACACCAACCCACAAAACCACCAACAAAACACACCAACCATCACAACACCCCCCAACCAATACACAAACCAAAACCACAACAACACCAACACAAAAAACCACTAACAACACACCAACCAAACCAAACCACACTCCACCACACCAACACACAACCACTACCCACACACCACCACCAACAACAAAACCACACCCCCCACCTCCCCCCACCCCCCCCACACCACCCACCACCCCCCCCCCCCCCCCCCCCCCACCAACCAACCCCCCCCAACCCCCCAAACACCCCTACCACCCCCCCACCCAACCCCCACCCCCCCCCCACCCACCCCCCCCCACCCCACCCACACACCCCCCCCCCCAACCAACCACCCACAAATACAAAACACACCCACCAAAACACAACACCCCCACCCACCCCCCCCCAAACACAAAAACTACACCACACCCACACCCACCCCCACAACCCACCACACCCACCCCCCCCCCCCCCCACCAAACCCCAACACCCCAAACCACCCAACACCCAAACTCACCCCCAACACAAACAAAACCCCAAAACCAACACACACACAAACACCCACACCCACAACCAACCCAAACCAAAAACAACAACCCACAATAACCACCCCCCCCCCAAACCAAAAAATAATACCCCCATTACCCCAACAAACAAAACAACACCCAACAAAAAAACCCACCACCAACAACACCACCAAACCAACAACCCACCCCCCCCCCCACCCACACCCCAACCCCCCCCCCCCCCCCCAAAACCCCCCCAACCCCACAAACACCCACCCCCACCCCCACCCCCAAACCCCCACCCCCCACAACACACACCACCACCCCCCCCCACCCCCCCCCACACCCCCCACCCCACCACCCCCAAACACCCAACCCCCCCCCCCCCCCCCCCCCCCCCCCACCAACCCCCCCCACCACCCACCCACACAACAACCCCCCCAACACCACCCCCCCCCCCCCCCCCCCCCCCCCCACCCACCCCCCCCCCCCCCACCCCAAACCCAAAAAATCAACACCCACACACACCCCCACTCCAACCCACAACCCCCCCACCCAACCCACATACAACCCACCCCAACCACCCCACCCCCCAACCCACCCCCCCCACCCCCCCCCCCCCCCCCCCACCCACCCCCCCCACAAACCCCACACACAACCCACCCACCAACCCCACCCCCCCCCCCCCCCCCCCCCCCCACCCAAAAAAACCACACCCCACACAAAACCCCCCCCCCCACACCCCCACCACCACCCACACAACCCCACACCCCACCACCCCCCCACCACCACACCCCCCACCCCCCACCCACACACCCCCCAAACCCCCCACACCCCACCCCACCCAAACCCACCCCCAACAAACACCCACCACCACCCCAACCCAACCAACACACCCCACCACAACACCACCCCCAAACCAAACCCCCCCCCCACCACCACCACCCCCCCCAACAACCCCACACCCCCACCCCCCCACCCCACCACACCAACCACCCCCCCCCACAAACCCCCCCCCCCCCCCCCACACCACCAAACACAACACACAACCCACCCCCAACCACCCACACCCACAAACAAAAAAACAACACAACCAAACACCCACAACCACACCACCCAACCCCCCCCCCCCACCAAAACACACTAACCCCCCCCAACAACCCCAACCACCCACCCACACCCCACCCCAACATACAAACCCCAACAAAAACAAACCCCCAACCCACCCCAACAACCAAACCACACACACACACCCAAACCCCCACCCCCACCAAACCAACACACCCCCAATCACCACCCACACCCCCACAACCACCCCCACACCACCCCCAACCCCAACACCCCAAACCCAAAACCCACCCACCCCCCCCCCCACCAACACCACCACAAAAACAAACAAAAACCCAACCACCCCAAACACCACCCCCCCCCCCCCCACCCCACCACCACACCCACACAACCCCCCACCAAACCCCCCCCACCCCCCCCCCCCCCACACACACACAACACACCCCCCCCCCACCCCCCACCCCCCCCCCCACCAACACCCACACCACCCCCCCCACCCCAACAAACCCCAAAAAAAAAAAAAAAAAAAAACCACCCCCCCACCAAACCCCCCCCCCCCCCAACACCACCACCCACACCACACCACAAACCACCCCCAACACCCCACACCCCCCACACAACAAACACACCACCCAACCCCCCACACAACCACCCCCCAAACACCCAACACAAAACCCCCCCCACCACCCACCCCCCACACCACACCCCCCCCCCACAACCCCCACCCACCCCCCACAAACACCCCCCCCCCCCCCATCAACCTACCAAATCCTTACACCACCCCCCCCCCCCCCCCCCACCCAATTCCCCATCCCCCCCCCTACATCAACTAAAATCCCCTCCCCCCCTACACACACCCCCCCCCCCCCCCACCCAAACAACCAAACTAACACTTATACCCATTTCCAAATTCCTCCCAACAACACATCACCCCTACCCCAACCACCAATAAATCTCATCCCTAAATTTTCCCTTCATTTAAATTAACTCAACTCCCTATAATTCACCACCCCCACCCCCCCCCAAACCACCCCAATAATCCCCCCCTCTACCCCAAACTCCTACACCCTCCAATATCCAAAAAAATCCCCCCCACTTCCCCAAACCCCAAAACCCCCCCCCCCCCTCCCCAATTTCCCCCATCCCAAAATAAACCCAAATATCCATAAACCCCCCAACCTCCAACCCCCCCCTCCCCACACCCCCCACACCATATAAACCTCATCCAAACAACCCCCCATTATACCAAAACAAACACCCACCCCCAACAAACTTCCCCCCCAATTACCACCCCCCCCCCCTCAACCCACCATCCAACATTCATCTAAATATCCCCATACCCAACCCAAAATTCCACCCCACACATCCCCCACCCCAAAACAAAACAAATAACCCCCCTTAAAACCCAAACACCCCCCAAACCAACCCCACCCTCATATACCCAAACTAAACAACCCCCTCCCCCCCCCCCCCCCCCCCCCACCCCAACACCACACCACACCTCAAAATAACCCCCCCCTCCCATATTTCCCATAACCCATTTTCTCCACCAACCTACCCTATCCATCCCCCACACCCACACACACACCAACCTAAAAAACAACATAACCAAAACAACTCCACCCCACCCCACCCTAACCACCCATAACCACCCCAATCATACAATCAACCCACACACCACCCACAAACCACAAACAACAAAACCACCCACACCCCCACACACACCCCAAAACCCAACCCACAACAAAAAACCCCCCCCCCCCCCCCCCCCCCCCCCCCCCCCCCCCCCCCCCCCCCCCCCCACCACCCCCAACACCCCACACCACCAACACCACACACACAACACCCACAACCCACCCCCACCCAAACCCCCCCCCCAACACCCACCACCCCCCACCACCCACCCCCAACCACCCCACCAACACCCCAAACACCCCCCCACCCCCCCCACCCACCCCCCCAACCCACAAACACCCCCCCCACCCACCCACACCCCCACACCACCCCCCCCCCAACCCACACCACCCCAACCCCCCCCCCAAACCCCCCACTCACCACACCCCCCCCCAAAACACAACCCCCACCCCCACACCACCCCCAAACCACCAACACCCCCCCCCACCAACCCCACAACCCACCCCCCCCACCCCCACACACCCCCCAACCAACCCACCCCCACCCCCACCCCACACCCAAACACAAACCCACCACCCCCAAAACCACACACAAACCACACCCCAACACCAAACCCCACCCCCATATCCCCCAAAATTATAAAACAAACCCCACCAACCACACACATACACACCAAACTCTCACACCCAACACCCCCCCACAACCCACCCCCCAACCCACCACCAACCACAACAACACCCCCACACAACACACCATTACCAACAACAACCCCCACCACACCCCCACACCCCCAACCCCCCAAACCCCAACCACCCCCAAAAACCCCACCCCCCCCCCACCCCCACCACACCACCCCCCCACCACCCCCCCCCCCCCCCCCCAACCCCCCCCCCACACCAACCCCACCCACACTAACACCAACCCCCACCCACAAAACCCACCACAAACCCACCACCAAACCCCACACCAAACCCACCCCACCAACCACACCAACCCCACCACCAAACAACCACCAAACCCCACCACAAACCCACCACAAACCCCACACCAACCCCCCCCCACCACCAACCCCCCACACCAAACCCACCACCAACCCCCACACAAAACCCACCACCAACCCCACCACAAAACCACACCAAACCCACCACAACCCACCACCAAACCCCACCACACAACACCACCAACCCACAACCACCCCCACACCCCACACCAACCCACACCCCCACCACCACCCCCCCACCCCCACCCCACACCACACCCACCCACCACAACCCCCCCCCCCACCAACCCAAACCCACACCCACACAACACAACACCCCCAAAACACACCCCCCACAACCCAACAACCACCCACACAAACCCAACCCCCCACACACCACACAACAAAACAACCACAACCAAAACCCACCACACACAACCCAACCCAAACCACCACAACACACCCCCCAACCACCCCAACCCCCAACCCCCCCAACCCCCCCCCAACCACAACCCCCAACCCCACAACCCCCAACCCCCCAACCCACACCACAAACCCCACCAAACCCCCCCCCCCAACCCCCACAACCCCAACCCCCCAACCCCCCCCCAACCACCCAACCCACCCCAACCCCCCAACCCCAAACCCCCCACCCACAACCCCCCCAAAAACCCCCCCAAACCCCTACCCCCCACCCAATACCCACACCCCCAAACACCCACCCCCAAACCCCCAACCCCCAACCCCAAACCCCAAACCCCCCCCCCAAACCCCACAAACACCACCAAACCCCCACCCCCCCCCTAACCCAAAACCCCACCCACCACCCCCACCCACCCCCCCCCCCCAACACACCCACAAACCCACCCAACCACACCACCCCATCCACCAAACAACACCAAAACCCACCCCCCACCCCCCCCCCCCACCACCCACCCACACACCCACCACAACAACACCATCCAACAATCCAACAAACCAACAACACACCAAACACCCACACCAACACCACAACACAACCCAACCACCCCAACAACCCACCACCCACAACACACCCCCAAACCCAAAAACACTACCAAAAAACAACAAAATACACACCCAACTACCTCCACCCCCATACATCACCCAACCCTACACCCAAAAACCCCCACTCCAACCCCCACCAAAAACCCACACCACACACACCACCCAAAAAAAAACAAACCACAAACACACCCCACCCACACCCCCAAACCACCCCACAACCACCCCACCCCCCCACCACCACCCCCCCACCCCCCCCCCACCCCCACCACCCACCCCCACACCCCAAAAATCCCCCCCCACCCACAAACACACACCCAAACCAACACACACCCCCCACCCCCAAACCCCAACCACCCCCCCCCCCCCCCACCCCCACCCCCCCCCCAACCAACCCACCACAACCCACCACCCCCCCACCCACAACACCCCCCCATCCCCCACCCCCCCACACCACCCCACCAACCCAACCATAAAACAAAAATAAAACAAACCCCAACAACAACCCCAACAAACAAACAACACACACAACCCCCCAACCACAACAACCCACAACACCCAACCACCACACCCACACACCAAAAAACCCCACCCACACCAAACACCCCCCCCCCACACTCCCCCACCACACCACTAAACAAACCCACCCACACACACAAACCCCCCACCAAAACCCCACCCACATAAAAATAACCAACCACCCTCCCTCCACCAACCCAAAACCAAAACAAACACCCCACAAACAACACACATCCCCCCACAACACCCACCCCCCCCCCCCCCAAAACCCACAAAACCCCCCCCACCCCACCCACCCCACCTCCCCCCCACCACCCCCCAAACCCAACAACAAAACCACAACAACCCCCACCACACCACCCCCCACAAACCAATCCACCCCAACACTCCCCAAACACCCCCACACCAAACCACCAACCCCCAAAAAAACATACCAAACCCCAAACAACCCCAACAACCCACCAACCCCCACCCCCCACCACACACACACCAACCTCCCACCACAACCAAACCCCCCAAACACAAAAACAACAACACACAACCACCCACCCCCCCCACCCCCCCCAAAAACCCAACCAACAAACAACACCCCCCAACCACATACACAACAATAATCCCCCAACCAAACCCAACCAAACCAACCCCCAACCCCAACCCCCCACCCCACCACCCCACCACCCCCAACACCCACCAACCACCCCCACACCCCCCCCCAAACACCCCCACACCACACCCCCCCACCAAACCACCACACCCACCCACCCAACCAACCAACCCCCAACCCCCAACACCACAACCACCACCCCACCACCAAACAACCCCCCCAATACCCACCCCCACTACCCCCAACCCCCCAAACTCCCCCCCCATAACACTATACCCACCTCAATAACTCCACACACCCATATCCCCCCCACCCCCCAAAACCCACAAAACCCTAACCCCCACCCACATAATACACCATAAACTATCCCCCAAAACCAAAAACCACCTTTCCTCCTCCACCCACAACCACACCCCCCCCACATCCAATCTAATACTAACCCACCAACCCCAATAACCACCCCCCCAATACCCCCAAACATCAACCAAACCATCCACAATAAAATCTAACATTTACTCCAACAATCCCTATCAATCAAACTCCAATACACCTAAACACACACACTCCCTCCCCTACCCCCACACCCCCACCATTACCAAACACAACCCCCCCCAAACAAACTCCAACATCACTCTCATCACCCAATCAAACATCCCCCCCCCCCCCACCCCAAAACAATAATACACTCATCATCCCCCCACCCCCACCCCCCCCCTCCACCCCAAAATTCCCACCCCCTTCCATCCCCCCCTAACCCTCTCAACAACAATCCATCTCCACCCCCCCCCCAATACATCAATATAATCAATCCACAAACAACCCCCCCCCCACCCCACCCACAAAACCCCACAATCACCACATATTACCTAAACACCAAAAAAAAAACACCCCCCCCACCAACCTCCAAAACCCAAACCCAAAAAACATCAACACCCACACACAACCCAACAAACTACCATACCCCCCACCAACCCCCACACCCCCCCCCCCCAACACACCCCACCAACACCCCAACACAAACCACCCACAACCAACAACACCCCTCACCACCAAACCAACAAAACCCCCACAACCCCCACCAAACCACCACACCACCCTTACACAACTACCAAACACAATCACCAACCCAACACCCCTCAAAAACCACACACCCCCACCCACCCCCCCCAAACCCCACCACAAACCCACAAACCCCCCCACCCACCACCACACACCAACCACAACACAACAACACCCAACCTAAACCCCCCCAACCCCCCACCCCAAAAACCACCCCCCCAAAACCCACCCCACCAACCACCACCACAAACAAACACCCACACCACCCACCCCCCCCCCAACCAACCCCCACCCACCCCACCCCACCCCACCCCCCCACCCCACACCCACAACAACCCCACCCCCCAACCACCCCACACCCCCAACCCCCCCCCCCCCACCCCCCACACCACAAAACCCCCAACACAACCCCCCACCCAAAACACCAACCCCCAAACAAACCACCAACAACCACACCAACCCACACCCACCACCCCCCCAACACCAACCCCACACACCCCCCCCCACCAACCCCCACCCCCAACACACCACCCACAACCCAACACCCAAACAAACCACACCCCCACCCCCCAACTAACCCCCACCAACCCACAACACCCAACCCCCCCCCCACCACCCCCCAATCACAACCCCACACCCCAACCCTAATCCCCCCCCAACAAAATCACCCACAACTCCAACCCCAAAAAATAACACCAAACCCCCCCCCAACCCACCACACCCCCCACCAACCACACCACCAACCACCCCAAACCCACACAACACCAACAAAAAACCACCCACCCCAACCCCCACAAACCCATACCAAACCACACCCCCACAAACAAAAACAAAAACCAACACACCCCACCCCACTCCCCCCACCACCCCCCAACTACAAACCCCCACCCCACCCCCCCCACCCCCCAACCCACCCCCCCCCCACCACCCCCCCCCCCACACCCCCACACCCACCCAACCACCCACCACACCCCCCCAACCCACCACCCCCAACCCCCCCCACCACATCACTCCAAAACCCCAAACACCCCAATCCCAACCCCCCCCCCCCCCCACAACACAAAAACACCACACAAACCCAAAACAAACAATCCATATATATATCAATTAAAACACAAACACCCACAAAAACACACAAACACAAAAAACCCAACCACCCACCCCCCCCCCACAACCCCCTCACTCCCCCCCCCCCAAACCCCCCCACAAACCCAACCCCCCCCCACCCCCCCCCCCCCACACCCCCCCAACCCCAAACATACACCCCCCACAAACCCCCCAACCCACACAACCCCCCACCCCACACACCACCCACCCCAACCCCCCCACACCCCACCCCCCCAACAAACACCTCCCCCAACCCCCACCCCCCACAACCCCACCCCACACCATCACAAAACCCCAAAACACAACCCCTACACCACCCACCACACACCACCCAAAAACCACCAACCCAAACCCAAAACCAATAACAAAACCCAACACCCCCCCCCCCAACCCACACCCCCACCCCAAACACCCCCCCACAACCCACCCCACCCCCCCACTACACCCACAAAAACACACTCCACACCTACCCCCACACACACCTACACACCACACACACCAACCCCCACACACACCAACTCACATCACTTCACTCCCACTCACATCCCCCTCTCTCTCTCCTCTTTCTCTCCCCTCTCTCATCCCCCCCCTCATCACATCCCACACACACCACACACACCTCACTCACCCCCTCTCACCTTCCCACAACACAACCCACACACACCCCCACAAACTTCTACTCCCTCTCTTCCACACTCACCTCACACACTCCTCATCTACCACACAAACCTACACACACCTCTCTCTCTTCCCCCCTCTCAACATCCCTCTCCCTCTCCCCTCTCTCTCAATCTCTATACCCACACTCTACACCACACACTCCACACACACACCCCCACCACACACACCAACTAACCACACATCACCCCCCCTCACTCTCACCCCTCACACATCCCCACTCACACACCACTACACTCCCCCTCACACACCCACTCACTCACCACACACCACCAACACCAAACCAAACCCCCCCAACCCCAATTCCCACATATCCCATCATCCAATCCAACCACCCCTCATCCTATAATACCCCTCTCACTAAAAAACATACCCCTATCAACTCCTCTTCCTATAACCTCCCTCCTATTACCCCTTACATCAACCCAACCCATCACCAACCTACCCCCCCAATCCCCCTACCAATCCACACCAACAATACTATACCCACACTTCCTCCCCTATACACCTCCAACCCCCCTAATCTATCAACCCCCATCCCTCCCATCCCACCCCCTCCCCATTCCATCCCCCCCCCCAACCCCCCCCCCCCCCTTCACCCTTCATCTTCACCCCCCCCTCCTCTTATATTCCCCCCTTCCATCTTCATAAATCCCCTTCCTCTTCAATACTCCCCCCCTTCCATATTCATACTCCCCTTCCATCTTCCATACTCACCCCCTTCAATCTTTTTACTCCTTCATCTTATACTCCCCTTCATATCTTCCAATAACTCCTTCCATCTTCCTACTCACCTTTCATCTTCCATACACACCCTTCCATCTTCATACTCCCCTTCATTTATACTCCCTTCCCATCTTATACTCTCTTCATCTTATACTCCATCCATCTCCCTCCTCACCACTTAATCTTATAATCCCTTCATCTACCCTACTCCTACAACTTATATCCCCTATCATCTTACATACTCCCCCCTTCCATCTTCCATACTCCTTATCTCATACTCACCTTCCATCTTACCCCTCCCCATCGCATACTCCTTCATCTTATAAAAAACCCACACCAACAACCCCACACAAAAAAACACACCCCCCCCCCCCCCCAACAACCACCCCACCCCCCCCCCCACACCCCCCCAACACCCCCCACCACCCCCAAAACCCAAACCCCCCCACCACACCCCCCACACCCCCCCAACCCCCCCCCCCCCCCACAACCCCCCCCCCACCACCCCCACAAAAACAAACAAACCACAACCACCAAAACACAATCACCCACACCCCCCCAAAACAAAAAAACCATCCAACATTACCAACTCCACCCCCCACACCCCTACCCCCCACCAAACCCCACAACACAACCCCACACTAAACCCCCCAAACTACCCCCAACTACAAAAAATCCCTAACAAAACACCCCACCATATACAACACCAACCCAACAAAACCCATCATTCTATCCCCTCATCTACTCCACATCTAAAAAAAAACCCCAACAATAATTATTTCCACCCTTTCCCCCCCAAAATTCAATAACTACACACCCCACCAAAAATAACCCCCCCCCCCAACAAACATACCTAATCTCACAAAAAACCCCCAAACAACACCACCCACCACCCACACCATACCCCCCCCCCCCCCCCACCCCCCCCCCCCCAACCCACACCAACACCCACCCCACCCCCCCAACCCACAACCCCCACCCCACCACACAACCCCCCACCCCCACCCCCCCACCCACACCCCACCCACCACCCCCAAACAACCCACCCCCACCCCACCCCCCCCCCCCCCCAACCCAAAACCCCCCCCCCCCACACCACACCCCAAACACACACACCCCCCAAAACCACCCCCCCCCCCCCCCCCCCCCCCCCCCCCCACCCCCCCCCCCCCCAAAAAAAAAACAACACCAACTCCACCCCAACCCCCCCAACCCCCACCCCACCCCACACCAACAACCCAACCACCCCCACCCCCAACCCCCCCCCCACCCCCCCCCCCCCCCCCCACCCACCCCCCCCACAAACCCCACAAAACCCACCCCCCACCAACCCCCACCCCCCCCCCCCCCCCCCCCCAACCCCAAAAAACACCCCAACCAACCCCCCCACACACCCCCACCACCACCACACAAACCCCCACCACCCCACCACCCCCCAACACCACACCCCCACCACCAACACCCCACCACCCCCACACCCACCCTCCCAAACCCACCCCCCCAAACACACCCACCACCAACCCCCAAAAACACACCCCACCACAACACCACCCCAAACCCAACCCCCCACCCCCCCCCCACACCCCCCCCCCCTCCCAACCCACACCAACCCACCCCCACCCACCAACACCCCACCAACCCCCCCCCCCAAAACCCCCCCCCCCCCCCCAAACACCACCCAACCACACCACAACCACCCCCAACCACCCACACCCCCCAAACACAAAACAAACACACAAAAACCACAAACCACCAACCCCCCCCCACCCACCCCACCAACAACCCCACCCCCCCCAACCCCCCACCAACCCCCCCCCACCCAACACACCAAACACCCACAACCCCCCCCCCCACCCCCCAACCCCCACACCCCAAACCCCCACCCCACCCCAACACCCCAACACACACAACCCACCACCCCAACCACCCCCACACACCCCCCACACCCCCACACACCCCAAACCCAACACCCACCACCCCCCACCCACACCACCCACCAAACAAAAAAACCCAACCACCCAACAACCCCCCCCCCCCCCCCCCCACACACCCACACCACCCCCACCAAACCCCCCCCCCCCCCCCCCCCCCCCCCCACCACCCACCACCCACCAAAACACACCCCCCCCCCACCCCCACCCCCCCCCCCAACACCACACCCACCCCCACCCAACCAAACCCCACCACCCCCCCACAAACCCCCCCCCCCCCCAACACCACCACCCACACCACACCACAACCACCCCCAACACCCACACCCCCCACACAACAAAACACCCACCCAAAACCCCAAACAACCCCAACCCCCAACAAAACACCACCCACCCCCACCCCCCCCCACCAACCCCACCCCCCACAAACACCCCCCCCACAACCACAACACAACCCCACACCCCCCCCCCCCAAAAACCCAACCCACCCACCCAAAACCCCTCCCCACACCCCACCCCCCCACTCACCACCCACAAACCCCACACACCAAAACCCAACACCCCACCCACCCCCCACCCACAACCAACCCCACAAAACAAACCAAAAACCAAACCACCACACTCAAACCACACCCCACCCAACCCACCCCCCCACAACCCCCACACCACACCACCCCCACCAAACCCACCCCACCCCCCATACCCCCCCCCCCCAACCCAAACCACACAAACACCCACACCCAAAACCCCACCCCCAAACCCCCACCAACACCCCCCCACACAACACAACACAACACCAACCCCCCCCAAAACACACCACCCCCCCCACACCCCCAACCCCCCCAACCCCCCCACCCCACCCCCCCCCCCCCCAACAAAAACAAACCCACCAACCCAAAAACCCCACCCCCCCCCCACACTCCCCCCCACCCAACCCACCACCCCCCCCACACCCCCCCCCCCCCCCACCCCCCCAACCACACCCCCCCACACCACCACCCAACCCCCCCCCCCCCCCCCACCCCCACCACCCCAACAACACACCCACAAACCCAACACCCAAAATACCCCCCCCCCAACCATCCAACCCCCCCCCACCCCCCCACCCCAAACCCCCCAAACAACACCAAACCCAAACACACCACCTCACACCCCAACCCAAAACCACCCCCAACAACAACCAACCCCCCCCCCCCCCCCCCCACCCCCCCCAATACAAACCCACCCACACCCCAACCACACCCCCAAAACACCCCAAACACACCCAAACACCCAACCCCAACACCACAATCCACACACAACCCTAAACCAACCCCCCCACCCCAAAACCCCCCCCAACCCCCCAACCCCCCCACCACCCACCCCAACCCCCCCCCCCCACCCAACCCCCCCCAAACCCCCACCCCCCCACACCCCCCCCACCCCATAAAACCCCACCCCCACCCCCCACACCCACCACCACCCCAAACACACCACCCCCCCACACCCCCCCAAACCCCCCCCCCACCCCAACACCCCCCCCCAAAAACAACCCCCACCCCCACCACCCCCCCCACCCACACCCCCCCACCAACACCCCCCCCCCCACACACCCCCCCAACCAACCCCCCCCCACACCAACCACCCCCACCCACCCCCACAACCAACACACATACCACCCCCCCCCAACCCACACAACCCACCCACCCCCACCACCCACCCCCCCCCCAAACCCCAAAAACATCCAAAACCACCAAACAACCCCCCCAAAAACACACCCCCCAACACCCCCCACCAAAACCACAACCCACCACACACCACCACCCCCCCCACACACCACCCAACCCCCCAAAACCCCCCACCCACAACCCCCCCCCACACCCCACCCCACCACCCCCAAAAACACCCCACCCCCCCCACCCCCCCACCCCCAACACCCCCCCACCACCCCCCCCCCCCCCCCCACACCCCACCCCCCCCCCCACCACCAAAACCCCAACCACACAAACCACCCAACCCCCCACCCACCCAACCCCACCAACAAACCCCACCCCTAAAACCCACCCACCACCATACCCACCCTCCAAAACCCACCAAAAAACACCCCCAACCCTACCATACACCACCACTAAATTACACCACCAATTACCACCACCAAAAACCAACACATACAACCACACTCCCAACAAACCCACCTACCCAATAACCTACCCCTACCCCCCCCCCCCCTATTACACCACCCCTACCAAAACCCCCCACCCCACCAACACCCACCCAACCAAAAACCACCCCCCCCCCCACAAATCCCACCAACAAACCCAACCCACCCAAACCAAAACCCCCACACAATCCACAAACCCAAACAACAACACCCCAACCCCAACACAACCCACACCCCCACCCACACCCCCCCCAAAACCCACCACCCACCCACAACCACCCACAAACCCACCCCACCCCCACCCAACCCCCAAACACCCACCAACAAAACATCACACCCCATAACACTCCCCCAACCAACCCAACATCCCCACCCTCCAACCAATCCCCTACCCCCCCCAAACCATCACAACACACACCATAACACAACCAAAACCACCAACACAACCAAACCCACACACCACCCCACACAACAAAAAACACCCCCAACCCCACAAACACACATAACCCACCCCAAAACCCACAACACCAAAAACACACAAAAACCCCACAAACCACCCAACCCCCCAAACACACATAACAAAAAAAACCAACCAACCAACCCCCAACAAAACAAAACAACCCCCCCACCACATTCCACCAAAACCCAACCCCCATACACCACAACCCCCAATACACCCCAACTTACAACACACAAAAACCAAACCCAAATAACCAAAATTACCAAACAAACACACCAAATACCCACCACACCAAAAAATTACCAACCATTACAAAATACCACCAAATAAACCAAATTAACACACCAATAACACCAAACCCTAAACAACTTACCACATCCAATCAAACAATTACCAACCAATTACCTAACCCCAAAACCCCCCCCCCCCCCCCCCCCCCACCCTACCAACACCCCAAAAACATCTCCCTCTCCCAAACTACATACACCATCCAACCCAACCCAACCAACTCATCACAATACCACCCCCCACCAAACCCACACATACCAAACCCCACTATCCATCAATCATATTCTAAATCATAAATCCCTCCATACCCTATACACTCAAATACACCCCCCCAAACCCCAAATAACCTTAAAATACCACAAAAACACAACCCCAAACCCACCCCCCAAACCACTCCCCCACCCCAAACACACCACCAACCCAACACACACAAACAACCCACACACCCCCCCCCAACACCACACACAAACAAACACACAAACCCCCCCAACCCCCCAAAACAAACCACCCCACCACCCCCAAACACCCCAACCACAAACAACCACACAACCCCCCCACACCACCCACAAACCCCCCAACCCCCCACACCCCACCCCACCCCCCCCCACCCCCACCACCCACCCCCACCCAACAAACAACCCAAAACCCACCAAACCACACACCCCCCCCCCCCCAAACCCAACCTACCCACCCCCCCCCCCACCACACCCCCCCCCCCCACCCCCCACAACCCACACAACCACCCACCCCCCCCCACACCCCACAAACCCCCCCCCCACCCAAACCCAACCCACCCCCCACCCACACACCCAACCCCCAACACCAACCCCCCCACAACAAAAAACAACAACAAACACACCCCAAACCCCCCACAACCCACCCAACACACAACCACCCCCACCCCAACCCCCCCACACCACACCCAAACCACCCAACACCAAACACACCCCCCCCCCACCACACCCCCCACCCCCCCACCCCCAATCCACTACCACAAAAAAACCCACCATACCCCCCCCCACCAATACCCCCCCCCCCCCACACACCCCCAACCCACCAATTAACACTACATACCTTCAACCATAAAAATATCCATCAAAAACATAACAAAAAACAAAAACCCCACCCCACCCCCCCCAAACCACCCCACCCCCCCCCCCACAACCCCTAAACCCCCCACCCCCCACAAACCCACCACACCCCTCCAACCCCAACTTACCCAAATCAAATAACACACCCCCAACACACACCAACCCCCCCCAAAACCCCAAACACCCCCAAAACAACAACAATACACCCCCCCCTAACCCCATAACACCCCAACCCCCCACACAACAACACCAATACACCAATCCACCCAACCCCCCCAAACCCCCACACCCCCAACCAACACACTATCAATCTCCCAAACCCAAAAATACCTCATCACACCCAATACAACACCCCACAAATACCCTTCCCAACAATTCACAACACCCAACCACATAATCAATCCCAATTATATCCCCACCAACCAATAACAAAACACACAAACCCATCACAAACCCCTACCCCCACACCCTCCACCCCAAACTACAACCCCACCCCAACCAACCCCCACCCACCACACCACACCAAAACTCCCCAACACCCAAACCAACACCCCCCAACAAACCAACACACCCACCACCCCAAACCCACAAACCCCCCACACCCCCAACACCCCAACACCAAAACCCCAACCCCCCCCCCCCACACCCCCCACCCCCCCCACACACACCCCCCCACCCCCCCACACCCCCCACAACACAACCCACCCAACACAAACCCCACCAAAAAACAACCCACCACACAACCCCCCCCACCCCCACACCAACCCCAAACCCCACCACCAACAAACACACACAACACACCCCAACCAAACAACCACAAAACAACCCAACCCCCCCCCCACAAACCAACAACAACCCCCCCCCCCCACCCCCCCAACCCCCCAACCCCCCACCCCCACCCCAAACCCAACAACCAAAACACCAAACACCCACCACACCACACACCCCCACCCCACACACCCCCCCCCGACCCCCCCACCCCCCACCACCACCACAAACACACAACCCCAACTCCATCCATCCCCCCCAACCAAAAAAAACAACCCCACCACAACCCCCCCACCCAACCACCCCCCAACCCCCCACCCACCCAACCACACCATCCCTCCCCACACCACCACAACCACCACCCCCCCCCCCCCCCAATCATTAACAAACATACACAACCACACCCAACCCCACCCACCAAACACCAACCCACAAACACAACAAACTCCAAAACACAACCAACAACCCCACCCACCCAATCAACACCCCCCAAAACCCCAACAACAACACCAAACAACACACACCCCACAACCCACACAAAACCAACACCACACCACAACCCCCCACCACACACACACCACACAAACCCCCATCACACCCATACCACAATCAAACCCCAACACACCCCCCCCCCCCCCCCACACCAAACCAAAACAAACCCCCACCACCCACCACCCCCCCCACCCACAACCACAAAACCCCCCCCCAACAACATACCCCCCCCCCCCCAACTCCCCCAACAAACCCCCATCCAACCCCACCCAAACCACCCTAACCCACCAAAACCTATCCATTCACCCAACACAAACCACATCAAACATTCATTCTAATATATACCTACCCCACCCAACAACCCCCCCCAACCACCCCCACAACCATAATCACCCCCCCAAAAACACCACCACTCAACCACCACCCACACACTCTACAAAATAACCCACACCAACACCCCCCCCAACACCCACACAAAACCACAAACCCCCCTAACACCCCCCCACCCACACCAACACAAACCACCCATCCCCCCCCCAACCCCCACCTCCCCACTCACCCCCCCCACCCACAACCCCACACCCATTACCAACAAATACCCCCCCCCCACCCAAACCACAATACCTAACACAATCCTCCATCTTCAACCTTCCTCAACCTCCACACCCCAATCTCACTCATACCAACATCACAACACCACCTACTAAAAAAACCCCCCAATCCCTCAATCACAAAACCCCAACAAAATTCTTTCTTCTACCTTCTTCTAAACCCCCCCTACCTTATCCCCCACCACACCCCTACTCCAACCCCCCCCCAACCCCCTCATCCCCTTACTAACAATCCAATTAACCTAATCACCCTTATTTTTCAACCTCCCCCCTTATCCCACCTTACCCACCCCCCCTTTTTCTCTACACAATCACCACACAAAACCAACAACCCACATTCTAACTCTCCCTCCCATTAATCAATCTTAATCTTATCTACTCCTCCCCATCCCCCAACACCCTCATTCCCTTACCATTTCTAACAAATTATTCCATTAATCATTCATTCTATCAAACCATACCCCCCCCCCCTCATCCCAACTCCACTTCCCATTCTAAACACAACCCAACCAACACCCCCCCCCCCCCCACACAACCCACACCCTCCCCCCCCCACCCCCCACCCCCACCAAACCCCTCTAAATAAATAAACATCCCATAAAAAATACAACCCCCAACCCTACTACCCTACCCCCCTCAACATAACACCACAAACCCCCACCACCAACAAACCCTTACCCAAACCCCCCCACTACTATTATCATATTATATAACATAATAACTAAATATATCCATATCCTAAAATTAAATAAAATATAATAAAATAATCAAATCTATAAATCAAATAAATATAAACCCAACCCCCCCCCACACCCCCCCAACACCCCCCCCCCCCCAACCAACCACAAACACCCAACCACCCCCCCACACCCCCCCACCCAAAAAACCCCCCCCCCCCCCCACCACCAAACCAATACACCCCCCATAACACCCACCAACCCCACAAACCACACACCCCACCACACCACACCCCACCCCACTAACACCTCCCACACCCAACCACCCCAAACACCACCACCCAAACCACCCCCCCCCCCCTCTCAACCCCCCCCTAACCCTCACAAACCACCCAAAACCCCCTACCCTCCCACCACCCCCACCCAAACCCCCACCACACCCCACAACACCCCCAACCACAACCAAAACCAACACCCCCCAACCACCCCACCCAAAACCCCACCCCCCCCACACACCCCCACCCTCCCCCCCCCAACAAACCAAACTCAACAACACCACACAATCCCCCCTCACAACACCCACACACACCCCCACACACACACAACATCCCCACACACACCCCAAACATCACACCCCACTCACAACACACTCATCCACACTCACCACAACAAACACCTCAACACACACACTCACCACACAACACCTCACTCACACCACACTCACCCACACACTCTCCCCACACACACCCCTTCACTCTCACACCACTCACACCCACTCACACCCACACACAAACCACTCAACTACACACACCCACACTACACAACACACACCCACACACACACCACACCCACACCCCAAACACACACACACACACCACACACTCTCCACTATACCCCCACACACACCACCACACTACACACCACACATAAAATCCCCTCTCATCTTCCACACTCACACCTCTCACTCCACTCATCTCTCCCCCTTCTCTCTCCCACTACACTCCCCACATTCTCACAACCACACACCCACAACAAACCCAAACCCACCCCCCACCCAAACCCCACCCAACCCACAAAACCACCTCCACAACAAACAACAAACCTATCCCACCAACAACTCACACCACCACCAAAACCCATAACCACCCCAACCACAACACAAACCCCCACACCCACCCCCCCCCCCCCACCAACCCCCCCCCACCACCCCCACACCCCACAACCCACAAAAACACCCACCACACACCCCCCCCCCCCCCCCCCCCCCCACCCCCCCAAAACCAACCCACACCCCCCCCCCCAACCAACCACACCCCCCCCACACAAAACACCAAAACAAAACCACCCCAACCAAAAACACACCAACCACAACACCACAACCACAACCCACCACCCCAACAACAAAAACACCACCAAAACACCAACCACAACACACCAACCAAAAAACCCCAACCTACAACCCCACCACACAACAACAAAACCACCAACCACAAACCACAACAACATCACCACCAACACAACACCACCCCCAACCACACACCACCCAACCACAACACCACCCAACCACACCAAACCAACCACAAACACCAACCAAACCACCACCAACCACAACACCACCCAAACAACACAACACCAACCACTAACACTAACCCAAACACCATCCCTAAAAACAAACAACCCACACCCCACACCCCCCACACACACCAACACCCCCCCCCCCCCCCCCCCACCCCCCCACCACCACCCCCCCCCCCACACCCCACCACCCAACACCCCCCCCAACCCAAACCCCACCCCCCCCCCCACCCCACCCCCCCCACCAACCCCAAACACAACCCCACCCCCCCAACAAAAAACCCCCAATAATACAAACAACAACCCCATACTAAACCAAACCCCCCCTCACCCCAAAACCCCCCCCAAACAAAAAAAAAACAACCAAACCCACCCAAACCCCCCACACCCACCCCCCCCCTCAACCCCCCCCCCACCACCCCAACCCCCCACACCCCCCCACACACCCCCCCCCACACACACCAAACCACCCCCCAAAACTCACACATCCCCCACCCACCCCCCAACCCCCCACCAAACAAACCAAAAACAACCCACAAACCCACCCCCCCCAATACTTACTTTCCCCCCCCAAATCCCCACCAAACCACTAACTAATCAAAAAACATCCAACAACCACCAAAACAAACAAAAACCCTCTAACCACACCCCTATTATAAACACACCCCCCCACCCACCACCCCAAACCCCCCCCCCCCCCCCCCCCCCCCACAAAAAACAATACCCACCCCCCCACCCCCACCCCACAAACACCCACCCACAACACAACCCCACCACCCCCCCCCACCCCCCCACCCCCCCCCACCACATCCCCCACCCACCACCCCAAACACCCCACCCCCCCAACACCCCCCCCCCCACCCCCCCCACAACCCACCCCCCCCACCCACCAACCCCCAACAAACAAAAAACACCCCCACCCAACAAACCCACCCCCCACACCCCCCACCCCCCACCCCCCCCCCCCCCCCCCCCCAAAACAAAAAAAAACACACAAACCCCCCCACCCCCCCCAACCCCCACCCCCCCACCCAACCACCCACCCACAAAAAACAAACCCCACCCCAACACCCCACCCCACCAAACCCCCCCCAACCCCCCCCCCCCCAACCCCACCCACCCCCCCCCCCCACAAACCCCCCCACACACAACCCACCCCCCAACCAACCCCCCCCCCCCCCCCCCCCCCCCCCAACCCACTAAAACACCCCCCAAACCAACACCCCCCCACACACCCCCCACCACACCCCCCACACAACCCCACCCCCCCACCACCCCCCACCCACACACCCCCACCTCAACACACCCCACCACCACCCCCCCACACCACCACCCACACACCCAACCCACCCCCCCAACCACACACCCCCACCACCCAACCCCCAACAAACACCCAAACACAACCACCACCCCCCACAACCCCAACCCCCCACCCCCCACCCCCCCACCCAACACCCCCACACCTCCCACCCACCCAACAAAACCCCACCCCACCCACACCCACCCCCCATAACCCCCCCCCCCACCCCCCCCTTCACCTCCATCACCTATCAAACACCCACAACCTCCACCCCCCATACATATCCCATCCTCACCACCCACTCTTAATTACCATTAAATACCCTTAATCATCATCTATTACTCCCCAAAACCCCCCCCCCCCCCCCCCCCCCCCCACTAAAAACCAATCATCCCCCACAAAACAACAACCCCCCCCCCACCACCAACCACCCCCCCACCTAACAACCCAACTACCACATACCCCCCCCACCCCCCCCAACCCCCCCACACCCAACCCCCCCACCCCCCCCAACACCCACACAAACCACCACAACACAACCACCCCCACACCTCCACACCCCCCACACACCCCAAACCCAACACCCCACCCACCCCCCCACCCAACCACCACCCAACAAAAAAACCCAACACCCACAAACCCACCCCCCCCCCCCCCCCCCACCACACACCCAACACCACCCCCACAACCCCCACCCCCCACCCCCCACCACCACCCCACACACACCCCCCCCCACCCCCACCCCCCCCCAAACACACCACCCCCACCCCAACCAACACCCCACCCACCCCCCCCCACAAACCCCCCCCCCCCCCCCCCAACACAAAACACCACACCACACAAACCACCCCCAACACCAACCCCCCACACCACAAACAACCAACCAACCCCCCACACCACCCCCCAACCCCAACAACAACCACCACCCACCCCCCCCACCCCCCCCCCACCAACCCCCACCAACCCACCAAAAACCTCCCCCACAACAACCAACACCAAAACACCCCCCCCCCCCCCCCAACCCCACCCCACCAACCCACACCCCCACCCCACCCCACCCCCCCCCCACCACACCCCCACCACCCCCACACCACACCCCAAACCCAAAACCACACACAACCCCCACCAAACACCACCCACCAAACAAACCAAAAACACAAACCACAACAACAACCCCCCCCCCCCCCCCACCCACCACCCCCACACCCACACACCCCCAACAAAACCCCCAAACCCCCCCAACCCCCCCCCCCACCCCCCACCCAAACCACAAACAAACCCCCCCAACCACAACCACCAACCCCCACCCCCACAACCACCCACACAAAACCCCCCAACACCCACCCCCCCAACCCCCCCCACCCCACCCACCACCAACCCCCAACACCCACCCACCCACCCCACCCACAAACAACACACACACAACCCTCCAAAAACCCCCAACCCCCCCACCCCCCCCCCACCCCCCACCCCCCCCCCCCCCCCCCCCCCACCCACACCCCACCACCACCCCACCCCCCCCCCCCAACCCCCCACCCAACCCACACACCCCACAAACCCAACCCCAAAAAACACCAAACCCAACCCCCAACCCCCCCACCCCCCCCAAACCACACCAACACCCAAAAACACCACCACACACCAAACCCAAAACCACCCCAACCAACCAACCAAACCCCCCCCCCCACCACCCCAAAAACAAACCCACCCACACCCCCAACACCCCACAACACCAAAACCCAACCCACACACACCCCAACACCCCCAACCCCCCACACCCCACACCACCCCCACCCAAACCACCCCCACCCCACAACCCCCCAACCCCCAACCCCCCCCCCACCACCCACCACCCCCCCCCCACCCCACCCAACCCCCCAACCCACCACCCCCAACACCCCCCACCCCCCAAACACCCCCCCAACCCCCCCCCACCAACCCACCACAACCCCCCCCCAAACCACACCAACACCCAACCCCCCCCCAAACCCCCCCAAACCCCAACACCCCCCCCAAAACACACCCCCACCCCCCACACCCCCCCACCCTCACCCCACCACAACCCCCCCCCCCACAACCACCCCACCAACCCCCACCCAAACCCACCCCACCACCCACCCCAACAACCAACAACACAAACCCACCCCCCCCCCCAACCACACAACCCACCCCCAAAACACATCAACAAAATAACCAACCCCAAAAACCCCCCCCAAAATACAACCCCACCACCACAACCAACAACCCCACAAACACCCCAACCCCCCCCACACCCCCCCCCCCCCAACCAAACCCCCACCACCCCACACACACACCTCCCAACCACCATAACCCTCCCCCACCCACCACCCCCCCCAAACACCCAAACCCAAAACAACCCAAAACACCCCACACCCCCCACCCCCCCACCCCACACACACCCCACCACCCCCCCCCCCCCCCCCCACCCCCACCCCCCCCACCACCAAACCCCACACCCCCCCCCCACACAACCACCAAACCCCCACCCCCCCCCCACCAAAACCCACCCACCAAAACCCCCCCACCCCCCCCACAAAAACCCACCACAAAACCCACCCATCCAACCCACCACAACCCCACCCACCAACCCACCACCAAACCACCACCAAACCCACCACAAACCCACCACCAACCCCACACAACCCACCAACAAACCCCACACAAACCCCACCCCCACCAAACCACCACAAACCCCACCACAAACCCCCAACACCAAACCCCACACCAAACCCACCACCAATCACCCACACACAACACCACCAACCCACACACCCACACCCCCCACCCCCCCCCAAACACCCACCCCCACCCACCACACCCCCCCCAACCACCCCAACACACACCCACCCCCACAACCCCCCCCCCCCCACCAACCCAACCCCCCACCCACCCAACACACAACACCAAAACAAACCCCCCACCAACCCCAACAACCCACCACCAAACACCATCCCCACAACCACACCAACCACACAACCAACCACAACCAATACCACCCACACACAACCAAACCCACACACCCCACCCACACAACACACCAACACCCCAACCCCAACACCCAAAACAAACCAAACCCCCCCACCACAAACCCCACCCAACCCCAACCCCCCCAACCCCCCAACCCCCCAACCCCCCAAACCCCCAACCCCCCAACACACACCAACCCCCCCAACACCCCAAACACCAAAAACCCACCAACACCCAACACCCCAACCCCCACAACCCAAACCCCAATAACCCAAAACCCCCCCCCCTTCACCCACCCACAAAACCCACCAAAACACAACCCCACAAACCCCACAAACAACAACACCACCCAAAACCCACACCCAAAACACAACAAACCACATACCCCCAACCCACCCCCCCCCCACACCACCCAACCCCCACATCACCAACCCCCCCCCCCCTCCCCCCCCCACCACAACACACACCTCAACCAACCCCCCACACCACCCCAACCCCCCCAAAACAACAACAACCACCCCCCCCCCTCCCCCCCACCACCCACCAAAACCCACAACCAAAACCACAAAAAACCACCAACCCACAACACACCCAACACCCCAACCCCCCACACACCAACCAACCACCCAACACCCACCCAAACCCCCCCCCCCCACAACCCCCCCCAAACACCAAAAACACAATCCATAAAACACATAAACCACACCTCCCCCCTAACACCACACAACCCAAACACCAAAATAAACCCCCACAAAAACCAAAACACAATCCCACACACCCTCAACCCCATAAAACAACCAATTACACTAACATAACAAAATACAAATCTCCCCATAAAAACCCCCCCCCCAACCCCCCCCTCCCACCCCCCCCACCCCCATCCCCCCCCCCCCCCCACCCCACCACCCACAAAAAAACCATTATAGTACCCAATCCTTTTAACCTCCATATCAACACACCCACCAAAAAAAACCATTTCCACAACCTACACCCCCCCCCCTACCCACTCCCCCCCCCCCAA